TTGGAAAATATTTTGCAGGCCGAAAATTGCAATCCTGGAGAATTTTTAAAAGCCAGATATACTTTAAAACCCAATAGAAATTTTGATCCTAGTTCAAATATAACTCATCAGGAATGGTTCGAATACTTTAAGAAGCTTATGAATGTTATAAATCAGATAGATAATTTTTCTAATGATAATAAGGTTATTGATCAATTAAACTCTGATATTCTCAATTATGACATAACAACTGATGAAGTGTAATTACTTGCATTAAAGTCATTAAAGAATAAAAAAGCTTGTTGAGATGATGGTGTTACAAATGAGATGATAAAAATATCATGTTCAGTAAGTACAGATATGTATGTGAAGTTATTTAATCTTATATTTGAAACTGGGATTTATCCCTCTGGTTTGAGAGAAAATTCTATCAAACCAAATTTTAAGGGAGGGTGCTTCAAAAATCCCTCAAAGTAAAGAGGGGTGGCCCCATCAATCTGTATGGGAATATTTTTAGCTGGGTTTTACAGAATAGATGAAGAATAATATAGTTTGTAACGAGCAAATTGGATTCAGAAGTGATTGCAGAACAAATGATCATATTTTAACCCCCAAGACTATTATTGACAAAGCTTTTAAATCATAAAAAAAATAATTGTTTGTTTTGTAGACTTTAAAAAAGCTTTTGATACAATTAATCGTAATGCACTTTTTTACAAACTGTGTTCTTATAATAAAAATGGATAATTTTATAAAATTTTACAGGACATGTATAGAGAGGTTTTCTTTTCTGTAAAGTTAAATGAAGGGTTAACAGAACCCTTTAGCTCAACTGTTGGAGTAAAGCAATGGTGCATTTTAAGCATTACATTGTTGTCACTTTATATAAATGACTTAGTTACCATATTTGATAGCTCTTGTGATCCTACCATATCAAATGATACAAATGTCTCGTTCTTGTTATATGCAGATGACCTTGTGTTGATATCTGAATCAGAGTCTGGCTTACAACGATGTTTAGACAAACTCAACACTTACTTTGATAAGTGGAATTTAACTGTAAATCTAAACAAAACTAATGTTATGATTTTTAATAAGTCAGGTAGAGTTCTAAAAAATGACGACTTTAAATCAATGAACAGACAGTTGATTTGACCAATGAATATAAATATTTGGGAATTTTATTTAAACCTTCAGGAATTTCTCCTATGCGGTTATCAACGGCTTTTTGCATTTGCGCCGATCTGCATTTCATTTGCTCTGATTTTTTCTTTCATTTGCGCCGATGTTTTCTTTCATTTGCGCTGATTGTGTACAGGTAGATAACAGGTAATTTATTTCTTATTTATCATTTTATACCTCTTCTGTTAGCCAGTTGTAAACATGTTATGAGTTATATCTTAGGGTGGTGCGAATAGAACTGTTTATTGTTATGCAAATAAAACGATTCTTGACTGTTATTTGTCCCCTAACAACTTTCAACGGGTGCAGCTGCCCAGAAATATATAAGCATATATAAGTACTTAATACATAGTCTAAGAATGCATGAAATTTGTCATCAGAAGGAGCGTCAGACATAATGTCATTATAATGTAAAGTAGTGCTCGATTTCATCTGGGGAAAGGAATGGTAGCCCGAAAATTTGCGCTGGCCATTTACCAGTGTCACTTGATTTGTTTTATACACTGTGCTTAGCCCACCAGACTTGATTTTCCTCCTAAAGTTCTGAGCAAAATGAAAACGGCAACAATCTATATGCAGTTATATACATAATTGACAATTCATAACATATGTACAACTGCCTAATTGAAAAGGTTTATATTGATGAAAAATTCCAAAAAAACATTCACATGTAATTCATCTATGCACAATCGGCGCAAATGAAAGATCGAAACTTTTTAAAATCGGCGCAAATGTCATACGACCGTTACATTATTAATCATGTGAAAAAAGCTTCAAATCAATGTTTTGCACCAGAAAGCTTTTATTCTCTAACAAACTTAATATTTATCCACATTTAAAACTGTTTGAAAGTTGTTAGAACCCTAGACTACTTTATTGCAGTGAAATATGGACACTTGATTTTTTATTTTCGCCATCAAAATTTGAAATAGAATTTGCTAAATATCTTGTTGGTGTTAATGCAGCTGCAGTTAACACAACAGTTTTAGCAGAAATAGGTATGTTCCCTATTGCCATTGATGCTTTAAAGGCTTCTTTAGAGTTTTGGTGCCATTTGAAAATTTTAGAAAAACGTAGACAAAAACTTTCTCAGGAAGTAGAGAGTATAGTCCCATCTTTCAACAAAATGTCTGATGGGGTAAAATTTACATTTAATGAGTATGACATAACTAAAATTATTGTTAAGGGGGTTAATAATTTAGATGTACTAAGAATAGTCTAGCTGACAAGAAAAACTAGAATTATATTATACAAATTTGTGATTATTTTCTTTTTTTATTTATTTATTACATATATATTTGTGTTGTTATATTTTATAATAAAATCATTAAGAATATTGTACTTTTATTTTCAAATTTACAAAAGTATCACCTCCTTCAAAATATCTCAATATGTGATATACTTATATGATATGAATGTTGGTTAACTTTGAATATTGTATGTTTGTAAATATTGTTATGTTTGTCTTGGTATTTGGATTTTACACCAATATTAATGATTTGATTTGATTTGATTATACCATGTCTACAGCAAGTTACTTTTACCAGAGAGTTTCACTGATGTCTCCGATTAACAGTTAATCAGTTCAAACCGGAATCAGAATCCGTTCGGTCGCAATCACGTTCTTATACGTACACATACCTGTTCGCCAAGTGACCAGGCATAAGAAAATGCAAATAAAAGTGTTAATTTCTTGAAAATCAGATCTAAGAAATGAGCTGAGAATATTTTTTGGAAATTTGTTTGATTTCTATAAAATAAATAAGATCATATAAGGAAAACCAAAAAAAGGAATGACTTACTGTAGTCCTTTTCGATATCACACTAACCTCTCTCTGTGTACAGTTTTCAGACCGATTTTTGCGGCATAATTCAGTAGAAATGGATCCACTTAAAAACCACAAGACTGAATTGTTATCAGCTAAAGCCCAATCAGCTGTATGAGATAGTTTATGAATTATAGTATCCTCCCCTGATAGCTAAATAGGACTTTTTTGCAGAATATTAAGAGAGCTCTCAATCCAAAAAATAATCTAGAATTTAATGACCAACTTCAAAACAAATCTCAAAGAAGAAGTGATTTCGTCATGAAAATATCAGTTTTCAAAACAGAAAAAAATCACGGTAGGTACAATAGAAAAGATAAAAAAACAATACACGTTTAACAACTGTAAAGCAGTAGATGTATTTGGTATAACGGCTGCACTTTGCACAAATCAAAATACAAAAGAAGTTATTAGTCGCACTCGCATACCAAAACCTATTTCACAATATATCTAAAGAAAGAAAAGAGGCACAGAAGCAATTTTAACATCATTTTTTAAAAAAAAATATAGTTAGACCGAACACTACTGCATTACTGTTACAGCTGACAAAGTCGCTGGAAGATATTTGAACAAATATATATAAAAAGAGATATTCGAAAATAAAAAAAATAAGCTCGGACCAAAGAGCAAGACAAAGTGGCAAACTATTTACCCATTTATATAATATGCAACATCGGAGTGTCTATAGGGAAAACACCACCACACACCTAGTTAAGGAAGTACGCCAAGTCACCATTAAGGAAAGCATGTTTACTGGTATAAAAGTTTTTCGGATACATAAATTCCAATGAACTGGATGGACGTTGATACTTGATGTCATATTTTCAAAACTGAAGATGAAGACCTAAGGAGGCCCAACTACAGGAGATTAATAAGAGCATAAATAAATCTGTTTGCATACTAATTAAGACATTTGAAAAGTGATATTGGTACAAGAACTGTCATCCGCTAGCTAATATGTAGACTGATATACTTTTTAACAAATACGAACTGTTGAAGCTAGATTCTGAGAATACTGCTGCGAAAGTTATACGAGAAGGCTTTGTGCTTAATGTATAGTGCGGCAATTAAATTGTTGAAAAAATTACGAGTTGGTGTTTGTTTTAAGGCCAGTTTGTAACCAATAACCATAGTCAAACTTCCATTAGTGCTCCATGTTCATTTACTATTTTGATCCGTGGAAAAACCTGCAAGAACTTACAAAGAGGGATATGATTGATTATTTTTCCAGATGGCGTGAAAATTATCCAGATTTTTGGTAAATTATACTCCAAAAACTATCAAATGTTTAAGTTTTTCTTCAAAATACTTCTTTCCATGTTTTTGCTTGCATCTGTCGTGTTGCTTTCTATGTGCCTCGTCTGCGTACTATTTTAAGAAATGCTAAGGCCAGTTTTCTCAATTTACTTATTTCATACGATTGAAATAAGAAAGTTAATTGGAAAACTATTCGAATTGGACTATCAACGATTCTAAATAATACACCAGTATGTTCACATATATTCTATAAATCGATTAAGGTAAATGATATTTTTGTTATAATATTGTAGTTTTTGAAGGATGTTCGAACCCAATATGATATGCTAAAAGTTTTTTCACTGTTCTTGGGTTTTTATAGTACGTTCATTCTAAACATGTACCTTGTGTTATTCCACTATTCCACTGATCTAGATAACGGAGGATCGAAGTATAAAAAGATTAATAATAACAATGATTTATCCCTGCAACAAATACCAGTGACTGTACCTTGTGAAGAACCTTGTCAGTGGTTGTCTTTTATTGATGTAATGTTTTATATCCTTTGGCGAATAGGGTGTTAATTGAAGATTTTTGATAAGCCACTAATCTAAATGCATTCCAAATTTTGATAGGCTATGATCGATTGAAATTTGGTTACATTGAATACATGTATAAATACTGTTTGCAGGCAAATCGGTTTTAGTTGTAAAATAGAACTATATTCTTGGTTCATATACGTCAGTGTATTTCATACGAACAATCGAACAATGTTCGTCAGAGGCAGACATTTTGAATGCGATTTTATTTGAGGATGTACATTAAATACAGTTTATTTTCATAAAAGACACGATTCAAGAATCAAATGAAATGTTGAATTTCTTTCTATATGAACTGGACTGATGATTTAATTATTCTATTTTTAATACAATAAGACAATGAAATAAACGCAAAAGGAATGTATTTTCTCCTAAATATTTTTTTCGCAGATAAATTCAGCTTTGATGGAACACTTTCTGTCATTCCACTTCCCGCTGTTTGTAACGAGTAACAACATACAATCTTCATTGTCATAGCGATTGCTAGGTTCCATGAAATTCCAGTTTGTATATAGCATGTCCTCTCTATTATCATACCATATGAAGTCATCATAGAAGCTTCTAATTCCTCCAGTCCACATATCTTCTAGTAAATTATAAAATCACACCAAAATTATTAACCCAATTTTACTTGATATTAACTATCTAACACCTTATACCTAGATAATATAAACTATCATATGCATTATACTTGTACTTTGACCTAGAATTGTTAACTTTTATACATTGTGTCTTGGATGGAGAGTTGTCTCATTGGCACTCATAACACATCTTCTTATTTATATTGGTAATATGTATGTATATGTTATAATCATTGTTAATAAATATGTGTATTCGAACGGAAGGCGAAGAATACGCAATTACACGCCTCTAGTGGAATTCGGGATAAAAAAAATGAGTGTCGTTAGTTACGCGAAGGAAAACATTAAGGAAAAATGGGCACACGAAAGAGAAATGACTTCGTGCGGTCTATCACGAATCCAAGCAAGTATGCCTGTGCTGTCTTAAAACTTATAAGAAATATCAGAATGACTCCAATCAGAAATCTGAGTATCCTATTGTTGGCAACCTGTATGTTTAACCCAGCCGCATTCTGTATGTGCATGTCCCAAGTCAGGAGCCTGTAAATCAGTGGTTGACGTTTGTTGCTGTATATCATATACGTTCATTGTTTTTTACACAGATCAGGCCGTTGGTTTTCTCGTTTGAATTGTTTTACATTTGTCATTTCGGGGCCTTTTATAGCTGACTTAGTGGTATGCGTTTTGCTCATTGTTGAAGGCCATACTGTGACCTATATAGTTGTTAACTTCTAAGTCATTTGGTCTCTGGTGGAGAGTTGTCTCATTGGCAATTATACCACATCTTCTTATTTTTATATATACTGATTCTATTACCACTGTTTTTTTTTGTTTTAGACACGCAAGAAAGGATACACAATACAACTCAACAGAAAGTAAAAACGCATCATAACAAAGTTATAACCAAAGAAACAAATAAACCAGTGACAATTCTGCTTCGATTTATACCAAATTGATTGAAATCAAACCAGAATTGACCCCACACTATTTTTTTTGAAAACCGTAGTTTTGAATGACACAGTAGCGTAAAATTGTAGATTGATCGCCTTTTTAGACATCTTCGATAGCCAGAGGAGGGGACTGGATCGTAACCCTTGGCTAGCGAAGAAGCTTTTTAGTGTCTGTATCTAAAAATGTCTTATTTGGGATAATTTGTTCTCATAGCATCAAAGCCAATGTGTGCTGACTTGTCGGAAAACCGCTTTTGATCAATGAATCATTATAATACTATATACTACATATATCAACTATCAAATTACAGAATTATAACGCGTTTCGTCTACAAAAAAACTCATCAGTGACGCTCGAATCATAAAAAATTAAAACGGCCAAATAAAGTACGAAGTTGAAGAGCATGGAGAATCCAAAATTCCGAACGGTTTTGCCAAATATAGCTGAGGTTATCTACATGTATTCTTGGGGTAGAAAATCCTTAGAATTTCAAAAATATCAAAGTTTTGTGAACAGTTAATTTATAATTATGACCATATCAATGATAATTCATGTCAATACAGAAGTGGTGACTACTGGGGTGGTGATACCATCGGGGAGGAAGATGTTAAAAGGGTTGGATCAATTTCACCTGTATTTGTTTTACAGACTAAAAACTAAAAATTGTTAAATCTTACTGGAATATGAATATTAAAGAGTTTACATCATGCGTTCTTTACCGATGTTCAAATCTCATAAATCGATAATGAAGACATATCAAGGAAGCAAACAAAAATTGACAGAACCGCAGGAACTCAAAAAGTATCTAGACCAAATGCGTCGATTGGGAAAGCTTCTACTGTTCTGAATTAAATAACCGCCATGCGAATCAAAATTCGTTCAAAATGTAACAATTTGGAATAGGACACAATGATTGGTGAAAAAAAACCCAAATTAGACGACTATTCTAATATCTAAAGATCTAGAACTGCGAAAAATGTCGTTAATTAGTTGAGACAGAGATATATCGTATCCGTCAACCAATTCTTGATGGTGACCGTAAAACTTATGCTGTGTCAATTTCAGTCGTTTTAACTCATTGTTCTATTGATATAAAAATAAGGAGATGTAGTATGATTGCCAATGAGACAACTATACACCAAAGTACAAATGAAGTGGATGTAAGCAATTATAGGCAACCGTACGGCCTTTAACAATGAGAAAAACCCATTCCGTATGGTCGGTTTTAAAAGGCCCCGACATGAAAAATATGAAACAACTCAACTGAGAAAAAACTAACGGCCTAATTTATAGCAAAATAATTTACGAAAAACAAATATGACAGACATAAACCAACGACAACCACTGAACTACAGGCTCCTGACTTGGGACAGGCACATGCAGAATGTGGCGGGGTTAAACATGTTTGTGAGCGCTCAACCCTTCCCCTAACCTGGGACATTGGTGTAACAGTACAACATAAGAACAAACTATAAAAATCAGTTGAAAAAGGCTAAACTCATCAGATGGATACAAATAGAAATACATCTAACAAAAACAAAGAGTGGACGTGGACGGGTACTTATACATCCACATAACAAAAAGATTCTAAGAACAGATCTGAGAGTACAACAATTTTTACTTATTTCCATAAATCAAATGTTATTTAGCACGCTGTTGTTGAAGACCTATTGATACAAAATCGCACATCTTTAAGTTTTTGTAAAATTTAACAATGAATAACGTCTCTAACTAAAATTAATTTATTATTTCTGAAAGACTACTACCCCCGGTATATCTTAACTTCAAACATTATTTTATTTTGGGTAAGAATGTCCCCTATTACTCTTTTTTTATCAATACTAGTACTAAAAATTCGCCAATATCTTTCAATTGCTGTTTTCAGGCGTTTCAGGATAGTTTTTTCATCTGTTTTCATCTGTTTAGAAAGAAGCTAAAATATGGTTAAACTTCCACTCAAAGTCCACGCTACTCTATTGGTATTAAGGCAAGCATGACAGACGTTTTGAAAATGGCATTGGTGTAAAAACAAATTCAGCGGAAATTGACCTTATTTCTTTCACCAGGTGGACCAAATAACAGAAAGTTTGACTTGGAAATTAGATGTTGTCTGTTTAGAAAAAAAAACATTGCTTTGTATCATAGATCTTTTTCAAATTGCCAAAAAGAAGAGATTAACATTCTTACAAATAACATTAAACAAAATTTCAATGTCTGAAATTGACGATATTCTTAAATTGAAGATGATATACAAAAAAGAAATATGAATTAACTTTAAAGTAATAATACATTTTCCGAAGTGTTGTACAGAAAATACAATTTAACAAAAACAGTTTTCTTTTAGGATGATTTTTTTCTTTTTCCGAAACATATACCATGAATGACATCATCAGTACAGTATATGTTAACATAATTGTTAAACTAAAATCTCAGGACATTGTGCTGTACTATACCTTTTTCTTGATGGTTATAAATCCATTCGTTTTCTTCGGGTGTTTCAATTCTTACAAGAATGCTACCACTTTCTTCACAAAATTCCTGCAAAATTAGCAAGCATCAAGACACGAGAACAATTACAAATTTACACAATACTGTTAAGTATAAAAAGGATCCATTGTCTTCTTGATTACATTAAAGCCATAAAGCCATGGTTAGCATAATCGTATATAAAATTGCACTGCTAACGTATATTATTATCACCCCCAGTTTTTAGTGGGGTTCGTGTTGCTAAGTCTCTTTTTGACTTTTTCTATTTAAGCCATGGCGTTGTCAGTTTATTTTCGACTCATGAGTTTGAATGTCTTATAGTATCTTTTGCTTATCGTTTACCAAAATTAAGGTTCATCATAACAAACGGACAATTATTGCTGTATTTACATGCCAAAAACTACTCTTAGTACAGACTTACCTGTCCAGTTGGAAAAGTTTTAATGCCTGGCATCCACTAGATATATAAAAGTTAAATGCATTTTGTGTTTCAGAAAGATAAAATCTCTTTTGAATTTTGATGGGCATTTTTTTTCCTTCATGCAGAAGGTGTAAAAATTAACTAAGTTGTGATACAACTTTAAGATGCTCCCTCTCAGGTTAAAACTGTATTGAATTGCATTGATTGTCCTTGATTGACATGGACAACAGGTATCTACACAACTATAGGTGAGTTAAAGGGTTTAACTGAGTGGACAGTATCGAAGTAATTCAGATGTTTGTTTATTTTTACACCTTCTGCAGAAAGGAAAAAAAAATGCCCATCAAAAACCAAAAAAGATTATATCTTTCTGAAACACAAAATGCATTTAACTTTTATATATCTAGTGGATGCCAGGCCTTAAAACTTTTCCAACTGGACAGGTAAGTCTGTACTCAGAGTAGTTTTTGACGTGTAAATACAGCCATATTTGTCAGTTTGTTATGATGAACCTTAAGCTTTTTTCTAACTGTATGTAATAGTTATACACCGAGGGATAGGTGTGTCTGGATAAGAAACCCCGTCGGCCGGAGGCCGGAGGGGTTTCTTATCCAGACACGCCGTATCCCGAGGTGTATAACTAACTTACACCCCATTCTAAACCCTATATTTGTTAACATTGATTATTAAATGAAAAAAAAAATGAAAAAAAAACGATAGCATATTTATTGATAATATCAAACCATGATTTATAAGAAATTTTTTTATTACATGAAACCCCACTAGTAACCTTTCTTTGATTATCTTCGTTCAAACTTTGACAAGTGAGTATATTTTACAAATGTCAAAGTTGTTTTACATATTCCCGTTAAATCCATGTGCTAATATGGATTAGCAGGTCAAGGTTGACTGTTTCGTGTATTCTTCTTACTAACAAAAAATACATCATGCTCCTTGTATTCAGTTGTCAAGATGGACGGGTATAAGACAGACGACATTTTGTGGCAAGTGTTGGATTTGGTAGAAGAGACTAAAGATGAAGACAATATTATAACCCAAAGTACCTACCTGTATCAGTTTAATAAAGGTAATCATAACTTTATTTTATATCTTTAATACGGTTTTATAGAACAAAAGCTCCTCCCCCCTCTTCTCTGGAAAAAAAACCCAATAATATTCGGAATTACTAAGGGATAGGTGTGTCTGCATTAGAAACCCGACTACCAGACACGCTCAACACACAAAGATACAGATTTAATATTTAGGAACTCCCTTTTTGGGGGCAATCAGGGGCTGATCCAGCCAGGGGTTCCCAACTCAAGAGAAAAAAAGGGGGGGTGTCCAACCATTCAAATTGCATTGATCTTTTAAATAAAAGTCGGGTCCAACCCGCGGAACCTCCACCCCCTGATCGGCCGCTGGGTAACCGAGGGGGAGGGGGTCCGGGAGTTAGATGCTTGATTTTTTTTTCGCTATTGGAATTTCCTAAAATGTTTTTTTTTTAATATCTTGAAACAATTTGTAGTGAACACTATTAGTAATTTCTTATGTTCATGCTATTTAAAAAAATAATCAATTTCTATTGTTACGAATAACAATGGACTTTGTTTGCGGGATGTAGAAGCAGGGGTTTCCAGAAACCCCGCTCGTCACACCCTGTGGTCAAAATCCATTGTTATTCGTAACAATAGATCTATTCAATTTACACTTGTTTCAGAAATAGAAACTATGAAGTATAACAATAGAACTGGGGTGTAAGGTATGGATTTTACTCTTTGTTGAAGACCGTACGGTGACCTATAGTTATTTATATATTTGTCCTTTGGTCGTATGGTGAACAATTTTCACATTGATAATCATAAAACATCAGACATAATTTTTATATACAAACTTAACGACTGCTCTACCATCCCAAATTTTCGTTTATTGCCACTACTGTATGTCCACCGCAAAATTTGAGTTCCGCACAAAACATTTAGTTCTATGATAAAGTTAATTCTCCTGATATGGCTATACTTTAGGTCCTTTTTGGTTTGATCCGCTCTTCAACATTTGTGTTATATTTTGGATATTCAAATATTGTGGCCTCGAGCATCACTAAAGAGACATTAATTGTTGAAATGCGCAATTGTTTTTTTGTTATTATACATAAACAATCAAAATTAAATGTACTATGAATTTATTGTAATACCTTTGCATTGGTCCAATTCTTTAGATCTCTTCCAAAGTAATAACAATGATCTCCAAATACTTTCCAGCCAAAGCTGCACGCGCTATTATCTACTGTATTAGTCCTATGTGTATAAAACCGTACTGAAAATGAAGAAGTCTTGGGTTTTGGGATCATGGAAGAAAAGATAACGGTCAACGATGTTTTCTCTGAAAAGCATCGCTCTTGTTCAATGTTCGATGTGCATGGAATAGTCTGAAAAAATACAATTTATGTTTCAATAGTACATTCAAACATATGCAGGAGATAAATGTTTTTCTCTGATCAATGCTATCAACAGAACCAACGTGCTTAGGTGGAGTTCAAGTAAAGTAAAGCGTAAGTCAGATGCTCCACCTGTAACCTCCAAACCCCCCCCCCCCCCCCCCCAAAAAAAAAGATACAGAACACGCTAAGCAAAAAAGATACTGTCTAGGCGAACAAAGAGCGTAAGTTGCAAATGGAGAGACACCATCAATACTAAAAGGCAAAATACAAAGAAAAAACAGCACACACAATGGTTCACATACAATTTCATATTCAACATCACGACAGTCAGCAAATAAACTCCTGAAATGTGATCACAAGATGCAAGAAAATTAACAACTCTATAAGTTTGAGTGTAAGTATTAACATTCAATTACCACATCTAAGAACTCCTACACGACTTAAATTCCATTGTTATTCGCAGATTACGGATGCAAACCAGGATTTGTTACAGGTTTCTTGTCGGATCATTTCATTCTTCAGAATTTTTATACACATTTTTGGGTTAATTTTGTTGTTGTGATTTCCATATCAATCGTTTTTGATAATCTTTGTTATTTAGTCATGCTTACCCCTTCATGAAACCTGTAATTGTCCAATCTGGTCTTGTACGTTATTAAAGGAAAGTTTCCCTTACACGGAATATTCTTTGCTTTGATCTCCATACAGAACGGTGTATATGATTCGTATTTACTCTGTGGCTGTATTGTGACATAACAAGGCTCATCAATGACATCACTATACCAAACAAATTGTAGAAGCATGTCTGTAGACAAATGGTGTAGACGACAGTTGTCTTTATTGTCCAAAAGTACTGAAAATAAATTAAGAACGCACAAAGGATATTCAAATTGTTTGATTTAAAAAAATACTTTGCAGTTATCAAAACTAAGTCCTATCGTGTCGATACATATATATATATACATGTATATTGAGTCATTGTACAAGGTCATGCTTTTCTCAGATTACGTATGACGTCTAAACACTTTGTCCGTCAGAGGTGTACTGATTGATACCTTTATACTGGAATCATGGTCTATGTGTTAGTTTAGATTGGGCTAATTTTCAGTAATTGTGAGTCTCCTTAGATTGGTTATTTTTCCTTTCGGAATTTGGGGTCCTCAATGCTCTTCAACTTCGTACTTTATTTGACCTTTTTAACTTGTTTGATTCGAGCGTCACTGATGAATGACATAAGTTAGATGATTGTAATATGAGTCTTTTGTAGACGAGACGCGCGTCTGGCGTACCAAATGTTAAATCTGGTATTTATGATGATTTTATTTTTTTTACAGTTTGTTTTAATTTTGTGCTACTATATGTCACATGTTAGGGGATTTGAATTCTCGCAAAGATGTTTAACATCGTCGTATGTGCCTGTTCCAATGCAGGATACTGTTATCCAGCGGTTGGTGTTGGTTGTTATCTGCCTTTAATCTTCCATATGAAGACATCAAGAGGAATCCTATACAAGACAAGACAAGACAAAATATAACGATGTGAGATTTTATTTAAATTATCTTAGTACTAAAATAAAAAGTTACAAGAAGGTAACTCAATCCGTATTTTGATCATCTTTAAGCTCTGGAGATCAGCAGGGATGCCATCTTCTAACGGAAAGGGGGTGGGTATTGGAGATTTCAACTGCTTCCAAGACCCAGGAAACACAAGGCACTATTACAGGAAAGCCACTTAAAAGAATCTGGAAAAGGTGCAAATATTTTTCTATGTGGAAAATTTTAGATCTAGAAATAATCTAACAGTTTTTTGTAAGTTTTAGATTTTAATGAGATTTCTGTTGTTTACATTTCCAAGATCATACGGTCGAAAGCGAGAAATAATTACCATAAAGCGATGTCCTGTTGTATATCAGCGATAAATTAATATATCAATCAATTAGGACACTAATAGACACAAGTCATACATGCACATAGTCAACACCTTGACCAAATCATAACGACGAAAAGACACAAAACTGAAGATTGAGCTACCAGAACCACATCAAAACTAGACTGAACGCATATAGTCTGTAAAAGTAGTCTGTTGTGTTACTAAAGGCAAATACAAATTCTGTGATCAGTCTCATTCTGTTTTGTCACACTCAGGCAGAATAAAACTGGATTGTGACTAGAACAATGGTACATTAACCGTAGTCATCTGTGACACAGATATTCCATAACGGGTAAGCAAACGATGATGGTTTTTGGAAATCTTTAGATATTATCTAAGGAACTTAGCTGCTTAAGTCTTAAAGGGACTTTTTGTAGAACTTCAACGTATATCATTTTAAGCGGTTGTCTCGAAATCTTTCCCATCCTGGATAACTCTGATGATACTAAGGTAAATATTTGACAGAGACACGGTATTTTTATCTATTTTTTTAATAATCTTATACATGTAACATGTTTAAATTATTGAATCAGCAACCAATGACATTTTTTGTCAATATCTATGTTTGATCATTTGTTAATCAAACTTTGAAAGCAACTATAATTCTATTTAAAAAGAAATGACCGCACAATCAGTTCTAAAACAAAAAGCGAACTGTTTCTAAAAACCGGACAATAAACTAGTGTCAGGAATTAAAGAAAGCTGTTAAATCTTGGACCACTGATCTTCTTGTAAACATAAAGTCTACAGTTAAATAAAGTTATAAAAAAGTCCAATCTTTAATGTGACTGAAAATAAACCCCTAACGGGAGGGATTGTGCCTGATATTCATATGATGAAGACATAATCTTTCAATCAGTTTAATTGAGGTCTGAAGCTGGCATGTCAGTAACTGCTAGTAGTCTGTTGTTATTTATGTATTATTGTCATTTTGTTTATTTTCTTTTGTTTCCTATTCTGACATCGGCTCGGAATTCTCTTGAACTGAGTTTTACTGTGCGTACTGTTGTACGTTTGTTTTTTCTACATTGGCTAGAGGTATAGGGGGAGGGTTGAGATATCAAAAAACATGTTTAACCCCGCCGCATTTTTGCGCTTGTCCCAAGTCAGGAGCCTCTGGCCTTTGTTAGTCTTGTATCATTTCTAATTTTAGTGTCTTGTGTATAATTTGGAGTTTAGTATGACGTCCATTCTCACTGAACTAGTATACATATTTGTTTAGGGGCCAGCTGAAGGACGCCTGCGGGTGCGGGGTTTCTCGCTGCATTGAAGACCCATTGGTGGCCTTCGGCTGTTGTCTGCTCTATGGTCGGGTTGTTGTCTCTTTGACACATTCCCCATTTCCATTCTCAATTTTAATTTTACAATAAATACAATAGGTATAGGTCCTGTAATAGAGGCAATTGTGGATGAAAGTCGGGGAAATTTAGACTGCCACTGGAAAATAAGGGTATATTGGAAAGGGAATGACATTCTGCCTTGTAACAGGACACCTACGAACCCCTCAAAGAGTTGTTACATGGGTTCTTAACGTTCAGAGAGCGTAGCACTCCCTCTACACGAGGCATCGGATTTATAGTCACCACTCTGACCGGACGTGGCTGCGTACTTGTACATCCCTCTCTATCAAATAAACGCCCCACTTTGGCAAGGGTTTTACTGCCGGTCGGAAAAGCACCTGTAGTGACCATATTTCTATTCCCCAGTCACCCTTTGGATAATAAAGGCAGATGTGTGGTATACGTTTTATAGACAACGACCGTCAAAAATAAACAAAAGTGAGACCAAGAATCCAACATACAGCTACACACAGTCTTCAACAATAGGCAGGTTTCTAAACATTATGTTAAGCCCTCAACTGTTCCTAGCCTATACAAGTCGTGACACGAAAAAGTAATTATCAGTTTTATGTTAATATTGCTAGGAATCTAGGAATCTTTAATCATTCATATGAAAAATGTTTAAACTATGTTTTTCATTATTTGCAATCATATGCCATCATACAATAAAAACTCTTTTGCAACAACTTTATTGACCTGTCATTTATTTTTACCAAAATCTTTCTGGTGCTGTCAACAACAGAAATAATTTGCCTTTTTACATTTTTCGACAATACCCTTACGTTTAAACATATGTGCGTTATAAAGTCGGAAATATAATACTGTACAAAAATCAGATCTGTAATTTACTTAATTAAAAATGATTTTGCCAAGTTTATAACCTTTGAACATCATGACTGACGGCAAATAATGAGGAACTGATTTTAAAATTACGGTACTACTATTTCATGCTTATTATCGGATAATTTGTATAATGACATTAGAAAATACAGTTTGTATGGGACGTACACATATTGTCGATCGCAGAGAAAGCGAGCAATATTGTAGTATAACTTTCACATAGAATGTAAAATTAAAAGAAAATCAAAAATAATTCAAAAGGCTACAAAAATCCAAGAAAGGCAATTAATACCACATTAAAATTGCCATGATGTGTACTGATTGATACTTTAGTCTGGGAGAGCATGATTTATTTATTAGTTGTATTTGGATCAGTAACTGCAAGTACTCTTATATCGATGCTTTGTGTCTATTATTTTTATGTCAAATGTTTATATGTTTCGTACTTAATCTTCTGAGTAAGCCAATTGCAACTGATTTTTACAGTAAATTCTGAAGTTTTGCTGTTACATCACTGTCCAAGATTAGTGGGAGGGTTAAGAGCACACAAACATGTTTAACCCCGCCACATTATCTTATGCCTGTCCCAAGTCAGGAGGTTTTCGTTGGTTCATGCATGCCATATTTGTTTTTAGTGAATTGTTTTGTTTTAAGTGAGGCCGTTAGTTTTCTCGTTTGAGTTGTTTCACATTTTTCATGTCGAGGTCTTTTATAGCCAACTGTGCGGTATGGGTTTTTCTCATTGTCGAAGGCCGTACGGTGACCATATTGCTTATATCCAATTCAGTTGAAATCTGATGGGTAGTTGTCTCATTGGCAATCATACTACATCTCCTGATTTTTATAATGAGTTCTTAATTAATGTAAAAAGGAACTCTCCAAAGAAAATTGCTTGAAATAATACATTTCGATGAAAAAAATCAATTATTTTGCTACATAAAACGTAAGTATCTTAATCATAAACTTACATGGTATATGGTATATCTTTCCATGAAGGTCATTGCTGATCTCTTTGCGAACAAGCACGTTATTACGAACGTTAATGAAATTTGAACAATCGATGGCCACTATAAAGCACATTACAGTAAAAAAGTATAAGTATAGTCTAGATTTGACCATTTTTGTTGCCTTTCTTTTTTTCCCTCAGAAGTTTGCTTTGGAAAATAAATTATGCATTTAAATACCAATTTTTATCTGAATTAAAATCTTTGAAGTACAACCATTTAAGTAATTTTGTACAATGATAGTCATTTTAAATGACAGAGAGTTAAATCTGTCGAAATTAAAGCATGTGTTAATCGGCTATCTACGAAAGCCTATGAGGGTCACAAAAAAAAAATATTTATCTCGTTATAACGAGATAAATATCTCGTAATTACGAGAAAACTATCGCGTAATTACGAGATAATCATTTTTTGACTCGTAATTACGAGATAATCATTTTTTGACTCGTAATTACGAGATAATTATCGCGTAATTACGAGAAAACTATCTCGTAATTACGAGATAATCATTATTTTTTATCTCGTAATTACGAGAAAACTATCGCGTAATTACGAGATAAGAAGTTTTTTTATCTCGTAATTACGAGATAATTATCGCGTAATTACGAAAAAACTATCTCGTTATTACGAGATAATCATTTTTTTTTATCTCGTAATTACGAGATAATCATCGCGTAATTACGAGAAAACTATCGAATAATTACGAGATAAAATAAATTGCTTCGCTGAGCGCAGCTGGATAAGCCCGCAGAGGTCCAACCCTGAACAGTTGGGGCAAAAATGGACACAATATTCAAGCTTGATACAGGTCTGAATTTGGATTGTAATTAAATATTTGACATATTATAGGTTTTTGAATAAATGTAGTCAAAGAACTTGAAATTGGTTATATGATTTGAATATATATTCAATTAAAGATTTCTTGCTGTTGTGCAATACACTGTGCTGTTGCGCAATACTTAGTAAATCTGTTGTCAGACTATAAACAAATAAAGTTCAATTAATTCTCAATGTCATATTAGAAATTTATGAAAATGTAAAGGTAGCTTACATCAATAGATATAACATATTCACCAAAGTTTCATGAGAATTGCTCACAGCATTTTTGAGTTATTGTCCGAAAACTGGAAAATCACCCCTTTTTTAATGAATAAAACCCAATAACTCAGAAATGATAAATGAAAAATATATAAAATTCTAAACAGAGTTTACATCAATAGATATAAACAATTCACCAAAGTTTTATAAGAACTGCTGAAAGCATTTTTTATTTTTTTTTCCATAACTCGGAAACGTAAAATCTAAAATTTATAAAAAACGAAAGGGAGCTCACGTCAATAGACATAAACAATTCACCAAAGTTTTATGCAAATTAGTTAAAGCGTTTTTGAGTTATTGTCCGACATGTTGACGACGGACGGACAGACGGACAGACGGACAACGGTATACCATAATACGTCCCGTAAACGGGCGTATAAAAATGATTATCTCGTAATTACGAGATAAAAAAAATGATACCTCGTAATTACGCGATAGTTTTCTCGTAATTACGCGATGATTATCTCGTAATTACGAGATAAAAAAATGATTATCTCGTAATTACGCGATAGTTTTCTCGTAATTACGCGATAATTATATCGTAATTACGAGATAAAAAAACTTCTTATCTCGTAATTACGCGATAGTTTTCTCGTAATTACGCGATGATGTTCTCGTAATTACGAGATAATTATCTCGTAATTACGTGATAGTTATCTCGTAATTACGCGATAATTATCTCGTAATTACGCGATAGTTTTCTCGTAATTACGAGATAAAAATGATTATCTCGTAATTACGAGATAAAAAAGGATTATCTCGTAATTACGCGATAGTTTTCTCGTTATTACGCGATAATTATCTTAAATTAAGCGATAGTTTTCTCGTAATTACGAGATATTTATCTCGAAATTACGCGATAAATTTTTTTTTGTGACCCTAATTGTCTTTCGTAGCTATCTGTTCTAACTGAAAGATTAAAAAATAGCACACCATGGAAATTAAATCGCACTTAAAAATTAGACCAGAATACTTCGAACATTAACATGTTTTTTAACCTTGATAATTGTTTATTGAAAGAGGTAAAATTACACTTTTTTATTATGGAAAACCACCAACTACAGAAGAAAAACACTTTTTTGGAAGGATATAGTTAAGGAAAATATTTTTCAGAAAATATTTTAGGAGTGACTTGTACTTTTGCAATTGTGAATGGAATAATGAATATTATGACAAACTTAAGTAAAAGCGGTAGCTATTTTAAACGTGACAAATTCTAGGAAAATCTTGAATAAGTAAGGCTCTTTTTGTATCCCATTACAGTTATGATTTCTCTACTCTTTACACAACACTACAACACAATCGTAAAATATTGGAATAGTCCTATCAATTAAATGGTCTTTTGATAAATCTTGGTGTAAACAGTATTTATTACAGTAATTATAATTACTCTTAATAATAGTAATAAAATTGAAACATAAATTTAATATATGGGACATGTAAAGAAATATGAAAAAGAAAAATTATTGCTTGACAATCTTTATGTTTATTTTAAAAATAAAGTTAACCCAACAAGTGATTGATATTCCGATGTGAATTAAAAAAAAAAGAAATAACAAAAATACCGAACTCCAAGGTAAATTCAAAACGTTATTGTCCATAAACATGATAAACACTGACAAAATCAAACGTTAGACTTTATCAACCAATGGAACTTGCTACAGGTATTTTCAGCAGAAAATGGTGGGTTACATCTGGTTTAACAGCTGTCTAAACCTTCCACTTGTATGACATTTGTTTATAGTTCCGTATATAGAAAAAATTGGGCGAGCAACACAAACAGACTTAATAGGTTATATGACAATAATTTGGATCCAGCAGCCAAAACTGTGTAAACATACATCATAGAAATACAACCCAGTTTACTGCACCAGATGTGCATTTCGAAAATTGATGTATCTTCAGTAATGCATATTGCCAAATAATTCGAAAATCTAAAAAATTCAAACACAGCTGAAATGAGGGGATGGATAGGGGGTACCCTTATCCCACCTCCCGCCCCCTATGTCCCACCTCCCTCAAAATCTGTCCACAACTCTGAAATAGTCAGGAAAAAATGTTGAAAAAATATGTATTTTTTCTTAAAGTTTCCCTTTCATGCGTTCCTGAGCGATAGTTTATTTTTATGAATCCTATGGTTTTCACAGGTAATGGATATCAAGAATTATCCCCTCACATTACGAATCTACTTGTATTATTTAGTTTATAATATTCACAAAGAAAAAAAAATGTAGTTGTCTCCCTTTTAAGACAATTTGAGTTATGAATACGATTACTGTGAATGGGGACACAATCATTTTCCCAATTTGTTCAATGTAATTTTATCATAATTGAAGGGCAGATCTACTATTCTCAATATTTGACTGCCAAATTTCATTTGCCTTCCTATAGTGTAAGTCCCTCCATGGTTTCTGAGAGAATTGTTGAAGTGTCATGACCCGCATTAAAGAGAGCAATACGGTTTTGAGTATTTATAAGGTCATTTAATTCACTTCCTGGTTAAAATCAATCATAAATTTTGACTATTTACTCACACACTATAAATTACAGACTCACACAATTTCATAGTCATGTCTTGTTAAGTAATTTTCTTATTGTGAATTCAATTCTGTTCCCGCATACTGCTTGCAGTTGATTCAGTTCCGTAGCTGTCTAGATAATTCAGTATGTTATTTGAAACGCTGATTAACAATAACTGAACAGTCTGACCATAGAAAGAACCGATCTTATATGACTACAAGAGGATTGTCTGAACAAAGCTTAATTGACCGTAGTTGATAAGTCCGGAAAAAACGGCGCTGCGTATGCCTCCATGTCTTTTCACAATGTTAAATAAAATTTCATTGATATACCATGGTTATAAATAATGTACAAGCGACAATGTCATTCAAGCCGATGAATTTGAAAAAAAATGCGTTAGCGGGTTTTAAGTAGAGGGTTCTGGCAGTTACTCATCTTGTTTTTTCTCTCTTCAGAATAGAGTAAAAGACAAGCAATCTTCTTATTTTTATATGAAACAGGACACATCCTACTAAAACCTCACCTACTCTAAGTGAATCTGTTTTCCCAATAGAAACACATAATGATGCACTTTTACAGAGATAACATGTACAACGGGTTAATCAAGAAATTTTTGAGAGGAGTAAGTTGAGTTCCATATTTCGCCATGAAAAAAAAACAATGAGAGCCTTTTTTGTTAAATGTGAACAAGTAAGACGAAGGACTGCGTGCAAATTAAATGTTAATAACATTTACACATCTATACAAGCTTGAATTACCATGGTATAATCAAGTACATAATCATGTACGCAATCAAACCATTGATGCAGACAAATTTTCGATAATTTTATTGTGATGTCACAGGTGTGCTTGGACGGGGATCAAGCATTTGTGTCGAAGGTTTGAATTGGCCAATGACAGCGATTGTTCCCTTACAAGTCAAAAATAAATCTAATAAAGTTCTGTTGAATGATTATGTCAATAGAAACTTTTGCTTAACGTGAACTCAGTTAGGTATATATCCCAGTATCCCTAGTATCATTAAAAAGAATAACAAAAAACTAAAATCCAAGGCAAATTTAAAAAGGGAAAATCCATAAAAACTGACAAAATCAAACGCTATCAATCAACGGAACAAGTAAAAACAACTGCCATATTCCTGACTTTGTACATGCATTTTCCTGAAAAAAAATGTAGGTTAAACCTGGTTTTATAGCTAGCTAAACCTCCCACTTCTATGACATTTATTTATAGTTCCGTTATATTGACAAAATTAGGTAAGCAACCCAAAAAGACATAATAGGTTAATGTGACGATAATTGTAATCCAACAGTCCAAATTGTGTAAAAATACATCACAGGCATACAATACAACTGACGTAAAAATTCAAACAAACATACGCATTAATATAACAAAGACACCAACAAAAAATGTGTAGTAAAAAGTAGTGGTAATAGTTAATATCCTTCCAATTAGCAGCAGTTACATACCATCTGTCCCATCTGGCTACATATATCAAGTAACACGGTAGCTCGTGATTGTTAGATCCATACGAACTTCATTAAAAAGGGTGTGTTTCTTACACAAAGATTGTTTCAGCGGAGTTGTATGAAGAAAACAAGTGAAATTGACACTTTATAATGTTACGTTTTATTGTCAACGTAAGGAATTGTTTACTGATACGATGTGCTTGTGTCTCACTTCACAACTGACATATCTTCGAAATCTTTTGATCTTTAGATACCGGAATAGAAGTCTGACCTGTAATATGTTGCGAATTGTGTCCTATTTCCGTTTTTGACATTTTGACTGGATTTGTATGGCGGATGAAACGTGCATATCAGAAGATGCTTACCCCATCGACTCATACAGTCTCGCTCCTAATGGAGTTCATGCGATTCCGTTAGTTTTATTTTTTTTCATATTGATCTTTATTTTCGTAATCAATTGTCGAGTAACATCTACTGTTACCAAAATTTTGCCCATGTCATTTTTATGATATTGAATATATTTTTATTTCTTTTGACCGGAATATCGAACCGACTGCTGACATCATAAAAAAGATGAAATAAAATATACAACTCCAAGTAAAACAGACATAACACTGGCTAAACGAAATCGTAAAACATTACGCAGAATACTGAAGATTGAGCAACAGGAACTCCGCCAAAAACAGCCGGTGATCTCCAGAAGTTTGCTACCCAGTGTTGAAGGGATCAACATAAGAGACTACCGTTTATCATGTTTCATCTGACTGTTTTAAAGTGAACAATATAAACAATATTAGAACGCACCATAATTCTTATTTTCTTTGCAGATAAAATAAAATATGGCTTTGTCTGTAAAACTAATGAAACGATTGGTGTTAAATTTTAATACCGTATTCTTGACATCAAGAAAACCAATTCTGTAAATCTGAAGATTTAATATAATAAATGTTTCAGTTCCAAAACATTAGATTTTGCAAAGTTAGTCGATAGGGAGGAAATGGAGAAATTTTGAACTAAGATTAGAAATGTAAAATAACGCGTTTGTTTAATTGGTACAATAAGTTAAACTTGTTGTAGGCCTCGTTCATCATTGTCATCATCAACATAAAGATAATCATCATCATCATCATCATCATCATCATCATGATCATAACGATCATCATATTCATCATCATCATCATCATCATGATCATAACGATCATCATAATCATCATCACCATTATAGTAATCATCATTATCATCATCTTCATCATCAACATCAAAATCATCATAATTATAATCATCATCCGAATAATAATCGTCTACTGATGTGTAATCACTTGATACCGTATATCCACCATGCAATGATAAATCATCATCATCAGATTCATCATCTTTACCATCAGCATCAACTCTTTTATACTGCGGGGAAGAGTTATCTTTTAAATGTGAAGAGTGATGTGGAACTACTCTTGTACTTTTTGAAGATTCTTCGTTAAAAGAAGACAACACTTCTGCAGATTGTGTAGGTGAATTAAATGCGACGGACTTATCAACATCTACAAAGTCACTGCCTAATTCTAAATTATCTTCTGCGTCAAATCTCAAATGACAAATGCGACTGTAAGCTTCACTTATAATATCAATTATTTTCTTCGATAAATAGCTACAACAAGGTAGATTGGCTTCATGGAACCGTTTTTGGTAACGATGTAAAAGTTTTTGCACAATGTCATTTAGTAACTCAACAGCATTTTCCACGTTCTTTGCGTCATAGTTTGTTAAGATATCAGATACGTCGCGATATTGACAGGTTTGTGATAACTGTACTGGTGTATCTGTTCTATTTCCATCCAAATCACAACCTAAAGACAACAACGCCAAAACTCTAATGAATCTTTCAAACACGGTTACAATGTCATGTCCTTTAAGAAATTTAATAACATTATATAAAGATGTATTTCCAAGTTTATCTTTTGAATTAACGTCTGCACCGTGATTCAATAATACTAATATAGTACTAAATCGACTAGATTTTGTATATGAACATGCCATATTCAGAATTGTGGTACCACCACTTCCTTTTATTTCAGTATCAACTGCATCCGATTTGCCTAGAACTTTCTTAACCAATACACTGACATGCGTGTCTTTTTCACCAAGCATTATAATTTTATGTAACACTGTATTTCCTTTGGAATCCGTTAAATTGATGTCGGTTGTCGCCTTTAAAAATAGTATTAAAAGTTTCAAATCGTTCAGTGAACAAATTTTCTACTAGCAAATGAAATACGGAGAGGCCATTACTGTTTCTTATACTTAAATTGAAATTGTTTTTCATAAACAACTTGCAAATAAGATTTAAGACGGTATCGGGTGAGGACGATAAAATACATTCATGTAAAGCAGTATTTCCATTTTCATTTTGTAAATTTACATCTGCTCCCCTTTTAATTAACTCCATAGCTAGTCCTACATTGACAGTTGAACTGCAAGATTTGATCAAAGGTGTATTTCCATTAAGGTCCGGCAAGTCAACATCAACGCCTGATTCACAAAGGTGTCGAAATGGTAGAATAATTTGGTACACGGTTACAGGACATACAGTTGGGTGCAGACCAAGCGTTACATAAAGTAAACGCAAGTTAACGCCGCGTGCACATATTTCGTTAGTTAACTTCAATTTTCGCGTTTACTAGTAAACGCGCGTTTACTATAATTACGTTAACGCGGTCAAAATGGAAATTTCTAATGTCTACCCGAGTAAACGGGCGTTTACTATGTGTCCGTTTAGTCAGTAGTAAACGGGCGTTTACTTCAGATTTCACAAGTTTATTTTTACGTGCACTTAAAAGTAAACGGGCGTTTACTACAGATTTCACAAGTGTATTTCTACGTGCACTTGAAAGTAAACGCGCGTTTACTTTTCGCGTTAACTGATTGTGTAAATTAAGAAATAAACTTCGTGTTCATTTGTACATTTATTTTTAATTAAAACGACTTGTATCTTAATATTTTATGTACAAGTGTTTCAAACCAGAATAATTCAAAAACACTTAATTCGAAATATTAACTTTTATTAATTACAAAAAATCAGTTCCAATAATTTTCCCGAGTAGCGGATTTTCTATATTTTCTTTTCAAAAGTTACATGTACAAATATCGAGGCAAATAGAAAGGTTATCCAACACATCAGAAAAATATTTGTATATGATGGGATATAAACATCATGGTTTACGTTGCTTCGTTCCCCATTTTTAACAGTCTCTCCCTAAATATAACTCTATGCATTTAATACAAGGATTTTTAATCGTAATTCACCTTGTTTGCCTTGGATTTACATGATTCAAGATTCTATTTTGCCAAATGTTCGATCGAAAATTGTACAGTGTATATATTGGGATATTGATCAGGTGTTGTATAAGTATGTACATTTGTACCATCTCGTCAATTTAGACAGACTTATCCATAACGACTATAGATGATATCTGGGACGTCCGAAAAAATATACTCGTTCTGAACATGAAAAAAAATATTTGCCCCTGGACGTTAGGCTACAAACGAAATCAATCAACCGCCATAATATATTAACAGTACACTTTTCCAAGAATAGACCTCCTCATAATTTGGATACATGTCAACTCGTACTTTTCATTATAAATTACTTTAATCAGTCATGTCAGTGTTGGATGATGCCGTTAAATATTAAGTTTTGTTTTAAATCATCCCGTACTACTGACTTAAGTGACAGTTCATTATGCAACTATCAAGATTTCCATAATAACGGGCAAATATGGTCAGTTTTGGTTGATCATGTTGATGCGGACAAATAATTTTGTTATATGAGTCAGTCTAAGGTAAGAAAACACTAAAATTTGTTTACGATTCAATATTTTGAATAAAAAGAGGACATGCTGGCACTATAACTTGATGCGAATAAAATTGTGTAGTCATTGTTTTCTAATATTACTGTCATCTGTTTTATACAGTTCCTCCTGACCTAAAAATATAACTGGTTTACTATGCAGCTATATAGATTAGCATGCTATAGTGCAAATATAGTCAGTTTTGGTTGATGCGGACCAATTATTTTCTTATACGAATCAGTCTGAAGTATGAAAACTACTGATATTTCCTTACGATTCAATATTTTGAATAAAAATAGGAGATGCTGGCACTATAAATTGATACGAACCAAATTTTTTAGTCATTGTTTTCCAATATTGCTGTCATTTGTATTATACAGTCCCTCTTTACATAAAAATATAACTGATTTACTATGCATCTATAAGATTTACATAAAAAAGAGCAAATTAGGTCAGTTTTGGTTGATTCGGACAAGTAATTTTGTTATACGAGCCAGTCTGAGGTATGAAAACTACTGATACTTGTTTACAATTCAGTATTTTGAATAAAAACAGGACATTTTGGCACTCTCAATTGATGCGAACAAAATTTTGTAGTCATTGTGGTCCAATATTGCTATCATCTGTTTTATACAATCCATCTTTACATAAAAATATAACTGATTTACTATGCAACTATAAGATTTACTATGCAACTATAAGATTTACATAAAAAAGAGCAAATTAGGTCAGTTTTGGTTGATGCGGACAAGTAATTTTGTTATACGAGTCAGTCCGAGGTATGAAAACTACTGATATTTATTTACGATTCAATATTTTGTATAAAAACAGGACATTTTGGCACTCTCAATTGATGCAAACAAAATTTTGTAGTCATTGTGGTCCAATATTGCTATCATTTGTTTTATACAATCCATCCTTACATAAAAATATAACTGATTTACTATGCGATTATAAGATTAACATAAAAAAGAGCAAATTAGGTCAGTTTTGGTTGATGCAGACATATAATTTTGTTATACAAGTCAGTCTGAGGTATAAAAACTACTGATATTTGTTCACGATTAGATATTTTGAATAAAAAGAGGACATGCTGGCACTATAAATTGATGCAAACCAAATTTTTTAGTCATTGTGGTCCAATATTTCTGTAATTTGTATTATACAGTCCAACCTGACCTAAAAATATAACTGATTTACTATGCAACTATAAGATTAACAAAAAAAAAGAGCAAATTAGGTCAGTTTTGGTTGATGCGGACAAGTAATTTAGTTATACGAGTCAGTCTGAGGTATGATAAGTACTGATATTTGTTTACGATTCAATATTTTGAATAAAAACAGGACATTTTGGCTTTCTCAATTGATGCGAACAAAATTTTGTAGTCATTGTGGTCCAATATTGCTATCATTTGTTTTGTACAATCCATCCTTACACAAAAACATAAATGATTTACTATGCAACTATAAGATTTACATAAAAAAGAGCAAATTAGGTCAGTTTTGGTTGATGCAGACAAGTAATTTTGTTATACGAGTCAGTCTGAGGTATGAAAACTACTGATATTTGTTAACGATTCAATATTTTGAATAAAAACAGGACATTTTGGCACTCTCAATTGATGGGAACCAAATTTTTTAGTCATTGTGGTCCAATATTTCTGTAATTTGTATTATACAGTCCCTCCTGACCTAAAAATGTAACTGAATTACTGTGCAGCTATATAGATTGACTTGATAAAGTGCAAATATGGTCAGTTTTGGTAGATGCAGACAAATAATTTTGTTATACGAGTCAGTCTGAGGTATGAAAACTACTGATATTTGTTTACAATTCAATATTTTGAATAAAAATAGGACATGCTGGCACTATAAATTGATGCGAACCAAATTTTTTAGTCATTGTGGTCCAATATTGCTATCATTTGTTTTGAACAATCCATCCTTACATAAAAATATAACTGATTTACTATGCAACTATAAGATTTACATAAAAAAGAGCAAATTAGGTCAGTTTTGGTTGATGCAGACAAGTAATTTTGTTATACGAGTCAGTCTGAGGTATGAAAACTACTGATATTTGTTTACGATTCAATATTTTGAATAAAAACAGGACATTTTGGCACTCTCAATTGATGCGAACCAAATTTTTTAGTCATTGTGGTCCAATATTTCTGTAATTTGTATTATACAGTCCCTCCTGACCTAAAAATGTAACTGAATTACTGTGCAGCTATATAGATTGACTTGATAAATTGCAAATATGGTCAGTTTTGGTAGATGCAGACAAATAATTTTGTTATACGAGTCAGTCTGAGGTATGAAAACTACTGATATTTGTTTACAATTCAATATTTTGAATAAAAATAGGACATGCTGGCACTATAAATTGATGCGAACCAAATTTTTTAGTCACTGTTTTACAATATTGCTGTCATTTGTATTATACAGTCCCTCTTTAAAAAACTGTGTTATAAGAGTCAGTCTCAGGTATGAAAACTACTGATATTTGTTTACGATTCAGTATTTTGAATAAAAACAGGACATTTTGGCACTCTCAATTGATGCGAACAAAATTTTGTAGTCATTGTGGTCCAATATTGCTGTCATTTGTTTTATACAATCCATCCTTACATAAAAACATAACTGATTTACTTTGCAACTATAAGATTTACATAAAAAAGAGCAAATTAGGTCAGTTTTGCTTGATGCGGACAAGTAATTTTGTTATACGAGTCAGTCTGAGGTATGAAAACTACTGATATTTGTTAACGATTCAATATTTTGAATAAAAACAGGACATTTTGGCACTCTCAATTGATGCGAACCAAATTTTTTAGTCATTGTGGTCCAATATTTCTGTAATTTGTATTATTCAGTCCCTCCTGACCTAAAAATGTAACTGAATTACTGTGCAGCTATATAGATTGACTTGATAAAGTGCAAATATGGTCAGTTTTGGTAGATGCAGACAAATAATTTGTTATACCAGTCAGTCTGAGGTATGAAAACTACTGATATTTGTTTACAATTCAATATTTTGAATAAAAATAGGACATGCTGGCACTATAAATTGATGCGAACCAAATTTTTTAGTCATTGTGGTCCAATATTGCTATCATTTGTTTTGTACAATCCATCCTTACGTAAAAATATAACTGATTTACTATGCAACTATAAGATTTACATAAGAAAGAGCAAATTAGGTCAGTTTTGGTTGATGCGGACAAGAAATTTTGTTATACGAGTCAGTCTGAGGTATGAAAACTACTGATATTTGTTTACGATTCAATATTTTGAATAAAAACAGGACATTTTGGCACTCTCAATTGATGCGAACCAAATTTTTTAGTCATTATGGTCCAATATTTCTGTAATTTGTATTATACAGTCCCTCCTGACCTAAAAATATAACTGAATTACTGTGCAGCTATACAGATTGACTTGATAAAGTGCAAATATGGTCAGTTTTGGTAGATGCAGACAAATAATTTTGTTATACGAGTCAGCCTGAGGTATAAAAACTACAGATATTTGTTTACGATTAGATATTTTGAATAAAAAGAGGACATGCTGGCACTATAAATTGATGCGAACCAAATTTTTTAGTTATTGTTTTCCAATATTGCTGTCATTTGTATTATACAATCCATACTGATATAAAAATATTACTGATTTGGTATGCAACTATAAGATTTACATAAAAAAGAGCAAATTAGGTCAGTTTTGGTTGATGCGGAAAAATAATTTTGTTTATACGAGTCAGTCTGAGGTATGAAAACTACTGATATTTGTATACGATTCAATATTTTTAATAAAAACAGGACATGCTGGCACTATAAATTGATGCGAACCAAATTTTTTAGTCATTGTGGTCCAATATTGCTATCATTTGTTTTGTACAATCCATCCTTACATAAAAATATAACTGATTTACTATGCAACTATAAGATTTACATAAAAAAGAGCAAATTAGGTCAGTTTTGGTTGATGCAGACAAGTAATTTTGTTATACGAGTCAGTCTGAGGTATAAAAAATACTGATATTTGTTTACGATTCAATATTTTGAATAAAAACAGGACATTTTGGCACTCTCAATTGATGCGAACCAAATTTTTTAGTCATTGTGGTCCAATATTTCTGTAATTTGTATTATACAGTCCCTCCTGACCTAAAAATGTAACTGAATTACTGTGCAGCTATATTGATTGACTTGATAAATTGCAAATATGGTCAGTTTTGGTAGATGCAGACAAATAATTTTGTTATACGAGTCAGTCTGAGGTATGAAAACTACTGATATTTGTTTACAATTCAATATTTTGAATAAAAATAGGACATGCTGGCACTATAAATTGATGCGAACCAAATTTTTGAGTCACTGTTTTACAATATTGCTGTCATTTGTATTATACAGTCCCTCTTTAAAAAACTGTGTTATACGAGTCAGTCTCAGGTATGAAAACTACTGATATTTGTTTACGATTCAGTATTTTGAATAAAAACAGGACATTTTGGCACTCTCAATTGATGCGAACAAAATTTTGTAGTCATTGTGGTCCAATATTGCTGTCATTTGTTTTATACAATCCATCCTTACATAAAAACATAACTGATTTACTTTGCAACTATAAGATTTACATAAAAAAGAGCAAATTAGGTCAGTTTTGGTTGATGCAGACAAATAATTTTGTTATACGAGTCAAGTCTGAGGTATAAAAACTACTGATATTTGTTCACGATTAGATATTTTGAATAAAAAGAGGACATGCTGGCACTATAAATTGATGCGAACCAAATTTTTTAGTCATTGTGGTCAAATATTTCTGTAATTTGTATTATACAGTCCCTCCTGACCTAAAATATAACTGAATTACTGTGTAGCTATATAGATTGACTTTATAAAGTGCAAATATGGTCAGTTTTGGTTGATGCAGACAAATGATTTTGTTATAAGAGTCAGTCTGAGGTATAAAAAATACTGATATTTGTTTACGATTAGATATTTTGAATAAAAAGAGGACATGCTGGCACTATAAATTGATGCAAACCAAATTTTGTAGTTATTGTTTTCCAATATTGCTGTCATTTGCATTATACAATCCATACTGATATAAAAAAATTACTGATTTAGAATGCGACTATAAGATTGACATAAAAAAGAGCAAATTAGGTCAGTTTTGGTTGATGCGGAAAAAAAATTTGTTATACCTGTCAGTCTGAGGTATGAAAACTACTGATATTTGTTTACGATTCAATATTTTGAATAAAAACAAGACATTTTGGCTTTCTCAATTGATGCGAACAAAATTTTGTAGTCATTGTGGTCCAATATTGCTATCATTTGTTTTATACAATCCATCCTTACATAAAAATATAACTGATTTACTATGCAACTATAAGATTAACATAAAAAAGAGCAAATTAGGTCAGTTTTGGTTGATGCAGACAAAGTAATTTTGTTATACAAGTCAGTCTGAGGTATGAAAACTACTGATATTTGTTAACGATTCAATATTTGAAAAAAAACAGGACATTTTGGCTTTCTGAATACATGCGAACAAAATTTTGTAGTCATTGTTGTCCAATATTGCTATCATTTGTTTTGTACAATCCATCCTTACATAAAAATATAACTGATTTACTATGCAACTATAAGATTTACATAAGAAAGAGCAAATTAGGTCAGTTTTGGTTGATGCGGACAAGAAATTTTGTTATACGAGTCAGTCTGAGGTATGAAAACTACTGATATTTGTTTACGATTCAATATTTTGAATAAAAACAGGACATTTTGGCACTCTCAATTGATGCGAACCAAATTTTTTAGTCATTATGGTCCAATATTTCTGTAATTTGTATTATACAGTCCCTCCTGACCTAAAAATATAACTGAATTACTGTGCAGCTATACAGATTGACTTGATAAAGTGCAAATATGGTCAGTTTTGGTAGATGCAGACAAATAATTTTGTTATACGAGTCAGCCTGAGGTATAAAAACTACAGATATTTGTTTACGATTAGATATTTTGAATAAAAAGAGGACATGCTGGCACTATAAATTGATGCGAACCAAATTTTTTAGTTATTGTTTTCCAATATTGCTGTCATTTGTATTATACAATCCATACTGATATAAAAATATTACTGATTTGGTATGCAACTATAAGATTTACATAAAAAAGAGCAAATTAGGTCAGTTTTGGTTGATGCGGAAAAATAATTTTGTTTATACGAGTCAGTCTGAGGTATGAAAACTACTGATATTTGTATACGATTCAATATTTTTAATAAAAACAGGACATGCTGGCACTATAAATTGATGCGAACCAAATTTTTTAGTCATTGTTTTCCAATATTGCTGTCATTTGTATTATACAGTCCCTCCTGACCTAAAAATATAACTGAATTACTGTGCGGCTATATATATTTACTTGATGAAGTGCAGATATGGTCATTTTTGGTTAATGAGGTCAATTAATTTTGTTAAACGAGTCATCCTGAGTTGGACAGTCTGAGATGTGAAAAATGCTGGATTTTGGTGATGATTTAATTATTTGAATAAAAGAAGGACATGCTTGAACTGTTTGTTTGTGCAGAAAAAAGAAATTTACTATGATCAATTTTCAATTAATTTAAGAGGTGTTATTACATTATTAATTAACTGTTAATGTCAATCGAAAATGAAAAGTTGGTCATTTAATTTTGATGTACTTTATCATTTGATATTTAAGGTCAGTGTATCCAGGATACGATGACAATTTGCGTTAACGCGCGTTTACTACAAATAGTAAACGTGCGTTTACTTTTGACGAAATTAGAAGACGCGCCTTTTTCACGTTAACGCGGAAGTAAACGCGAAAGTAAACGCCCGTTTACTCTTTACAAAATTAGAAGACGCGCCGATTTTGCGTTAACGCGAAGGTAAACGCGAAAGTAAACGGCCGTTTACTTTTTATGTCTACTGAAATTTCCGAGTTAACGCACAGTTAACGCGGCGTTTACTTGAAGTGCACGCGAGTAAACGCCGCGTTAACTTTTTCCGCCCGTTTACATGTAATGCTTGGTCTGCACCCAACTGTATAGATGCTAGTTTGTGAAGTATATGTTCGTCTTCTTGCAAAATAAAGTCATAGTACTTTGCATTGAATAGAACAGTAGCTACCTCATCGGACATATGTCCGTTTTGTATTAAATTTAGAAGGAATTTGCTTTCTATTTCAAATATATCCGAATGTTTAAGTAGCAAGCAAATACATTTAGGACGATGTTTAGAGCATAATGATGCATACTCCAATGCAGTTTTGTCAAACATATCTCGGTCATTAATTCTGCCACAAACAGATATATATGTTTTACAAATATCACACGCTTCTGCGTCAGTCAATGCATTGGAAGCTGTGGCAAGATGCAAAACAGATTGTTGGTTTTTATTTTTCGTTTCAAGTTTAGTTAAATCAATCATTGTCATATTCAATAAAGTTTTAATTTCACGAAAACGATTTTTCCTGCACTTCAAAGCCGTTAATAATGCGGTATCACCTTCTTCGTTTACATGATATACGTTTTCAAAAGCTTCAATCAGAACGCTAAAAATACCTTCGACATTTGCATGTCGACTTAAAAGTAATTTTTGTATTATTGAATAGTTACCTTCGTAAAGAATATTAGCATCCCCGCCTAATGATAAAATCGTCTTTGTTAAAAGCATATTGTTTAACTTGCAGGCTGATAAGAGTATAGGGGTTTGATTTTGTCGATCCATGGTGTTCACATCTATATCTTCACTTACCAATTCCTTAATTATTCTTATCTTTACAGTCTCACATAGCCCACTACATAAGCAATCGTGCAGTGGCCAGTTTGACACCTTTAATAAAACACTACTATGTATTGGTGGTTGTTCAAATATTACTTGGGCATACGTTCTTTTTCTCAAGTCAGTTTCATTTCGTTTTGCACCACATTCTAGTAAAAGTGATATTAAAGACAACTTTTGTTCAAGAGGCATGTAAGATTTAATACACAAGTGAAGTGGTGTAAGTCCGTCAAGGGTACGACTATCAACACTAGCTCCCGCTTGAAGTAACAATTGTATCACTTGAATATTGATAGATTTCTCTCCAATTGCAAGACAAAGAGGAAATGTTCCATCAACTGCTGTATTGTTTGGATCTATACCAATTTTCAGGAGAATCCGAAGACAAGATACCTCGTTTAATGTAATGCGTTGCGGATCTTCCTTATATTTCCATAATAAAACATTTATTGCATTGCGTTGTTTTCTATCACAATAGGTAATATCCAATCCAAAAGAATTAAAAACTTCACAGATAGCTTGACTTATAAAACTATGATGTATAAATGTGAAAAATATATCATTAATATCACTTGGATCCTGAATATCTTTTAACATTGCTTTAAAATTTGAATATAAACCTTCATTGCCTGGTTGCCTAATAGTTACATTATCAAGGTTTCTGCCTTTAGAAAACGTCTCTTCTAGTGCTAATACGAAATCAAATGAGCTCGCTAAAATGTTAGACACTTCAGCAAGTTTGCATAACAATTCCCACTGAATCCATGCAGAATGAATAATGGTAGCACCCTTCTTCAGAAGGTATTTGAAAGATTGTAGATTACCGGACTGTATGACAGCTTGAAGCGGACAAAAATGAAAGCCATTACCTATAACTTCGAATTTGATGGATGGCGCATCCAATTTAAAACAAGCCTCACAGTAACTAATGTCAGCCCCATATTTTACTAATTGTAATACCAGAATCAATGACTTGCTATTTAAACACGCTCCTATTAATGCCCGTGATAATATATTTAATGGCAAATCTTCATGCTTACGACAACGTCCAAAATGTTTGAGAAGCATATCACAAAAGTTTGTATTTCCATAGTGTGCGGACCAAAATAAAATGCCATCACAAAAAATATCATCTACGGTTAAAAAGAAATCGTACAAGATCTGAATCATTTGATCTTTACCATTGCGATATTTTTTCTGCAAAGCATTTTGAAAATCATTAATAAACTCTTGTTTTTTCAATAGTGGATGAGAACATACATGACGAATATTTCCATCGAAAACTTCGCTTAACATTCTATCAGCTAGCAGACACAAATAATTGCGCGAGAGATAATTCACCTGCAGAATGCCAAATAGTTTTTTCTTAGATAGTTTTGCCGGAATATTTATATATTTGCTAATTGTTTTTATTGACATATACTTCAACCCTTCTTGTTGATCAATGTTAAAAATATGAATCTCAGCTGCAGTTAATAGAATCGGATGAATAAATTGAATAATGTTCTCATTAGTTATATTCAGAAATGGTCTCATGACACTATTAGAAAATGTTAAAACATCATTAACTGTTGTAATATTATTGATTAACATCTTTGTATTTGAGTTCAAATCGGCATCACTTTCAAAAGTGCCAGCATTTAAAACCAAAATTTTCGAAATGCATTCTGCCATTTCCGATTCAGAAATTAAATTTTGATAACTGCTTAAAAAGAACTTTAATGGATCAGCAAAAAAATCCGTTGCATCTAAAGAAAAAAATGTACTAGTGTAAAGCAATGAACACAGAGGGAAACCAATGTCATTACTGATCTCCTCATCAAAACGGTAAATTATTTTATCTATCTCTTTTTCATTTATAATGTTTGTATGGGAAAGCAACATATTTTTTCTATCTTCGTGTCCGAACACACTGTTTTTACTCATATCAACAAGAATAGAAGCAAATGGTATGTTATACGGTAAACACTCTTTCCTGGTCGATAAAATTAATTTTGATGATTTGGAATCTTTTTTCTTTTTATTTACTTTTTCTTGCCACGTACAAGAAAGAGTTTTCCATAATGTTTTATCGAAGTTTGACATATCTTTACCGAATGCATCATCGAAAAAGAAGAATTGATTTTCATCAAATTTCACCATTCGCACTAATTGTGTTACAGAATAAATCTGCACTGATGTAAACTCGTTTTTGAGACATTCAAGCAGCTGTCTTCCAAGTGTAGTTTTTCCCGAACCAGCAACACCAACGAGTATTATGGTGTCGTTGTCATGCAATAACTGTTTCATATATTGAAATGTTGAAGTCATCACACCGCACAAACCATCATCAAACGTATCATCGCTTCTATGATCTGAAAGATTGTGGTATAATATAATAGATCAATTTCAATGCAAAACAATTTATTAGATAATTAAATAAGTAAGGACATTTCCTAAGAATTGAATGTTTCTTTTTGAATTTATACGCTTGTAAAAATGTCGACGTTAAGAAAAGTTTGTGTGCAAAGCGCTTCATATAAATAAATATGCGTAAGCGGTCGATCAACTTATTAAACTATATGATTGAACGCTGTTTTTTGAAAATTTGTACGATTGAAAAGCATTGTCTGGATGGTGTTGTACTTTCATTATCGCCCTATTGTGTTTATTTTTGAAAACGCATAACGTATCACATTTCTATGAGACGATTCTGTTAACATGTCAATGGTTTATAAACGTAGTCAAACAAGTAGACTTAATAGGATTTGACTCGTGGTTTTATTTCTATTCGAAAATTCCTTTTTTTTCTCAAATCCGCGATTAAAAAGATAAAACCTTCAGAACCTTTTTATTCGTCATTAAGTAAACAATAATTTTCGAAGGCAATCAAATTTGAGTATTTTTATGAGAGGTTTTACAAAGACATTGCTTTTTTAAGGAAACAGAAGTCAGTATCCTTTTTTTAAGTGTAGTATACAGAGGTTTTTAGACAACTAAAAGTCAATGAGGAAAATGGAAGTTGGTAATAGAATGAACTACAAAAAAGTGGATCAGGTGCATCTTCAGGTTGATTGTTTCCTCCTAAGCGTACATAACAGCCACATCGAAGAGGGATTTCCAGAATGATTTATTGAAAAAAAACCGTTATCTCACTCTTAACTGCGCGCAGTGCTCCAAGTCTTGAGCCCTTGCGTACCCGAAATACGACTCCTTTCTTACATTAGCCACTACTGAACATGATATTTTCGTGATAAGATTTGTGCAATTGTTTTCTGTTTAACGTTTATAAGAATTGTAAGGTTCTCGTTTATAGATTTTTCACTGGATACACTGAGGGACATATAACTGAGACCCATTGTGACGTGATTTTGCAGGATAATATTTCGGGGCACGTTTGAGCGAGGAAAATAATGGGACATGTTTGGTGATACTGAAATTGCACACAAATGACCACAAAAGATGTCCCTAAAAAATGAAAACAACACGTTATAAATTTAATGCGTCCGAAGCGTAACTGAATTTTAAATTTAAAATCTATTTTTCAAATCTAAACAACAGACACGGCTTCCTCCGCCTCATTTTTTAAGACTCATACCTCGAATTTGACATAAGCGGTCATCTCAGTACCAGAATCGATGACAAACGAGACGATTTTAATTTTGAAATTATCAATAACCCCCCACCTTAGTAGCAATATACCAACTTCCCCTGCATATGGGATTTACATTTCCCAACTCATTCGGTATTCAAGAGCTTGCAGCTGCTACTCAGACTTTATAAAATGTCACCAGTGTCTGAGCAAAAAGTTGATGAACCAGGGGTATGTCAAAGAACATCTCGTACTTTTTCTAAAAAAGTTCATCGGAAGATACCAAGACCTTGTTGATAAATATTCCGTATCAACTTCACAAATAATACATGATGGTCTTGAAGTATAGATTCTAGGTACTGACGTTAACGTTGTTTATCATCTTATTTACGTGTTATAGGGTTCTTTTATTTGTCTTTGTAAATTTAGTCCATTTTTGTTAATATCCTTTTGGCGTGGCTCGGTACTTATACATCCCGCCATTGTGTTATTGTCCTATGGTCATTTTTTCTATTCTTGTCCTTCATTTTTGCTTATGTGCTTTGTCTATATGCCATTTTTTTTTATAGTGATTAAGATACAACACAATGTTGACTGCTGTACCCCTATTTTTGACATTTTCACCTATTATGTCTGTTTGTTTTGTTCAAACATTGTTGTCAATATAATGGAATTTTATGCGACTGTCATACAAGTGAGAGGTTTAACTATCTTTAAAATCAGGTTTAATCCACCATTTTCTACATAAGGAAATGCCTGTACCAAGTCAGGAATATCACAGTTGTTTTCCATTCGTTTGATGTATTTGATAAGGGACTTTCTGTTTGGATTTTCCTTGAAGTTCGATATTTTTGTTATTTTACTTTTCATTAGCAATTGCTGAAACGTAATTTAATAATGTAACTAATCGTCTATCTTGATCAAGTTTCCACCTATCAGGTTGGGTCGATCTACCTGTACAAGTGATTAGCGATCATTAACCGGATATCCCTAACGGCTTTACTGTAATCATGAGGACCCTTTTGGATTATAATACAATAAGGGTCATGCAATTAAATGCAAAAAATGATGGCGGCTAGTGAAACGAAAACAAATTTTGACTTTACTTTTCAATCATAGCGCAGTCATTTAACAATGGCGGGGATCATTTGACGCATGGCGGTAGATAATTTAACAATGGCGATGATCATTTAACGATGGCGGAAGTTAATTTAACGATGTTGGTGCGCCTTCATAAAACAGGTCATGGAGATCCCTGCTGTTTGTTGAAAGAAATCAGGATTTACTTATGAATATGCACATAATAATATAAACCGGCCGTTGCGCAGTCACAAATCAATCGAATCAATATAGTTTTCAGTAAAGGCGTCGGCAATATTTGATTTTGCTTTGGAACACATTATTACTAGAATGTTAAAATTTGGACCCAAGTACTTGTATACGTTTATGTAGTAAGTTTTTATAAATTGATTGGTGGATTTTTGTATTATTTCCTGTCTCATATATTGCATACCAGGAAGTGTACATATAAACGAGATATGAATATGAGCGCTGCTTTACATCGATCCGCAATGCCACTAACAAATCTTGAGATGAGGAACTCAAATTTAGGATCATAACAAAATTATCCATACACTTGTGTATGTTGTGATTTTAAAAATGGACAAAAGAAATATACAGACTTGACCATATGTACATGTTTAGAAAGAACACATTTTTTACTGAATTTTATGATTATTAATATGGGATCATTTCACGAGGAGAGTGCAAATTTTCGATACCTTTCGGGAATAGGCACATTTAGGGAAACTAGATCTTAGTTGACATCAGAAAATATAACTAGCCATGTAGCTTCGATATGACTTTACAATATGGACTGAGGATCAGACAAAAAAAATGTGACTGAAAAAATTGCACATTCCTTGTAAACGACTATTATGCTAAAACTATCATTTTAGGGCATCTTCTTGTGATCACATAATTATTTGAAAAAGAAATATGAAAAATATTTACATTTCCTCAATTCTAATTTATGTTCAGTTTTTGATTCAAACGTTGGATTCCTTTTATTTGCTAATGGTTTAATTATACTCTAAGAGATTAAAAAAAGTCTTCAAAACAGTGTAAATAACCCGAGTGTTTTTGTGATAACTGGAATCTCACTCTTAATATTAAAAAAAAACAAAAGTTTGGTTATTCAACATTATAGTAATAGTAATGTGGAATTATTTATTAATAATAAAAACAATTCATCACAAAATGTTACTGAATACAAGTTTTTATGTTTGCAACTTAAATGTAATGGAAACCTGAATCATAGTTTAGAGGATCTTGCTAGAAAGGCCAAAATTATAAAGTTTTGTTTTCTATAAAAGCTAAATCTTCTTCCGTTGGCAATCTTCCTATACAGGTCTAAAATAATCTTTTTGACAAATTCGTACACCCAGTCTTGACTAACAACTTAGAAATTTCATTTATGGATAGTTATTTGAGCTATCATAGGGCTAACATTCGGTCTGAAAAAAGTGGAAAAAGTTTAGATCCATTCTATTTTATAGACAAAACTCCCTCTGAATATTTTGTAAATTTATATTGGGAATTAAAAAATCTGCTTCAAATGTTGGGGTACGATCTGAACTTGAAGATTGCCGGTAGAACATTCATTTCATTTCAGTCTTTGATTTATCTAGCAAGACTATACACCGAAAACATAAACCCCCTTCTTAAAGAGGCTTTTGTGTTGTTAAAATCTCTTGACAATAACGTTACATATTATTGGTATATATACATATGTCAAGAATATTGTACCTGGTAGCGATAACTTACATTAAATAAAATATTGTAAAAATTTTTAAAGAAGTTAAACCTCTCAAGATTCTTATCAAGAAAGAAATAGAAGACACGTGTAAAATTTTAATTAAAAATAGATTTAGTAGCTATGATTCAAAAACATAAAACTTGGTCAAGATAAAGAATTTACTTACTGTACAACGACTTTATTATAAGAAAATGTTTCACCAAATAGCGTATAAGTGACCAAAATCTTGGAATTGAAAAAGTTAGATATTTAAAAATCCCTCGAGAAGATAGACTTTACAAACTATGCAATGTTCTTAAAACGAGGAACATTTCCTCTCGGAGTGTTGTATACATAATAAATTAAAATTGGATCTATTTAAAAAAAATTAAATGGGAAGACGAATTTATGTTACTCGACTATATTTGCATTCTGATTGTTTGTATATTGATAAAACTGCTAGCAATTAAATATAAAAAAGAGTCCGTATTAAATTGAAGTAAAACCGCCTAAACAATTCACGTTTTTTTTTAATTTCAAAAAACCGTTTATATGAATTTTGTTTAGACTTAACTGCTAAAAGAACACCAACCTTCTTGCGAAATTCAACATTATTCAATTGTCTTGTGCAGACAAACATTTTCGATCCTTTTCATTAACGCTAAGAAAAAAACTAAATCAGATGTAATCGATTTGTTATGTACACACAGAAAAGATTTTGTTTGAAGTGTAAAGTATTAAAATAAACCACTAACTGTACATACCTAATAATCTATGTTCTGGAAACTCTACTATAAAATACCCAAGAGACGAATGTGCACTGAAAAAGAAACAAAAAGGTACAGACAATGATCCATACGGGGTTTTACTCAAAATATCCTTGTTTTCGATATTAAACCTTGAACGTTTCTAATAAAGGTTAATCCAGAAAAGTGCTTCGGAGGCACTAAACAAGACAAATGATATTTTTATTTTATAGCGTTTGGTTAACAACGCTAGAGGTGGACTGCTAATCCCTGATGACATCATCAGCTCAGTAGTCAGTGATTCTTCTCTCGCGTTTAAATAAACTATTATCATAATACCCATATTTGAATCTGGATTATATAATTTTCGACAGGTAACCGACCATGTGGTGGAATATCCTGGTACTCGGTCAAGTAAGAGGAACCAACAGAGGTAAAATCAAAAATACAATCGGTGCAATTTGAGGGGAAAGTTTACTGTTTTCAAAATGATTTTGTTGTGTATAGAAAACATATAACATCGATTATTTCTGAAGTACTTTGTGTCTTTTCTGTTTTTGGTATTTGGTTTCGTGATTTGTATTGATCTTATGAGTTAAGACCTTTTAAATTAATTTTCATAGTTTGTTCTTATGCTGTAACACCATTGTCGTAGGTTAGGGGAGGGTTGTGCGCCCGCAAACATATTTTACCCCGACAAGGTATATGTGTGTCTGTGCAAACTCATGAGATTGGTTGTCTTTTGTTGCTGTTTATCATATTTGTTTTTCGTTTATTGTTTAGTAAAATTTGTGTTTATGTTTGTTGTTCTGTTGTACCACTGTCTCATGTTTAGGGTGGAGTTTGGGCGCCCGCTATTATTTTTAACTCCACCACATTCTGTATGTTTCTGTTCGAAGTCAGTAGTCTGTCATTCAGAAGTTGTTGTTTGTTGTGGAAAGTAAAACAACAAAAATACAGAACTCCAAGGAAAATTCAAAACGGAAAGTCCCTTAACAATTGGCAAAATCAAAAGCTCTAATATATCAAACGAATGGAAAACAACTGTCATATTCATGACTTGGTACAGGCATTTCCTTATGTAAAAAATGGTGGATTTAACCTGGTTTTAATGTTAGATAAACCGTCTTGTATGACAGTAGCATAAAATTCCATTATATATTGACAACAATGTGTGAACAAAACAAACAGACATAATATCATATTTATTCAAAAAATAAGTTTTTTTTCTCAAAACAAACAATATCTGTATCGATTTACATATAAATGCCATTATGATTGACTTGCCTTGAAAATATCATGTTCTTGACATAGTTTTGAAAAAAAGGTGGTTGCCATGCACTATGAATTTCTGAATCATGTTCAATTATAGAGCAAGCAATGGACAGTTAAAGATCATCATCTTATCATTTTAATATGAACAATTATGAAAATACTTGCTATATACTACAGAGTCTTGTGTAAACTGACTATGTTCTTCAGTTGCATTGATAATGAATTTTGACAAGAAATTAAAAAAAGATATCAGATTAAGAGATTTACGAGTTGCAAAAAGTAATAATACTTAAAAAAAAATGGATCTTTCAATTAAAAATTGCCATATTGTAGTTAGTTTGCCTCATTACCAAGTTTAAGCAGGTTTCATGTCAGGAGCATGAACCAAGTATGATGTGAACATGCAAGTGCGTAACAGATCGAGATGCGTGAACACCATACGATGGGGCATATAGGTTATATTACTGCTGAGAAATAAGAAGTTGCAATGTGAAAGCTGTAATCATGACGTTTGTTAAAGATCATAGTTTGAATTCGCCAAAGAATTAAAAAAAGGATCTAGGTATGAAACAGATCTTCTACTTTCGGTAGTATTTGTAGACATTCCAGAATTAACAAATGTGTACAATGAGCAACATGATAGGTGCAACATGTGGATCAGGATCTGCCTACCTTCACTTCCAGAACACCTAAGACCACCTGGGTTTTTTTGGGGTTTGCGTTGCTTGATCATTATGTTTAATGGTTTGCTATGTATTGCTTTGTGAACTTATTTGTCTTTCGTCGTTGTTCTTTTTTTTTACCATGGCATTGTCAGTTTTCATCAACTTATGGGATTTGAATGTCCCCCTCGTTTATTCCGCCTCATTTTAAATTCAAATACATTTGGAGATTCAGTGATATATAGTTATTGGGTGGAAGGGTGTCTTAAAAATATTTGAAAGTGAAGTTATCTCATTGTTGAAGGCCGTACTGTTGCCTATAATTGCTGATAATATGATCAGAGACGAACGTACTTCCAAAGGACGTTTTAAATTCACAACCTGGTTGACATGGTAGTGATCACTGCAGATAAACTGTTTAGACCACTCGTCAATCTAGATCCATCACGAGTTAGAAAGCAATGCAAGATAGAGAGATAGTTTACCTGCTAGGTAGCTTTTGTCCGATCTTTGGCAGTACCTCAAATGGATTAAATTTTGTCGAAATATCAGTTCTAAAAGAAAGAAGTAAACACATTCACATATTTCTTTTACCATCATTCTTATTTTGAGTCATTTGATTGATGTTTTATTTTTACTTCCATTGGCCATGGTTACTGGAAAATTTTAGAAATATATATAAAGTCTATAAAATAGAAAAAACCAACGAAATGACATGTACCGGATAGTTTAGTATAGGGGATACTTCGCAGATAAGGAAAATATTATAAAAATCTTATAATTTGCGCAACGACAGTAATATACAATGTTTGTTTACGAAATGGATGTTATAAAAAAGAAGGCTATTTGTTCACCCAAAATATTTGTCAACAGGATTCTTTTACATCCTCTTCGTTTATTACCGTTGTGGTTTAGAATCGTTGTGCAAATCTTAAGACTTTTACATGTATTTATATATAATTATTTTAACTACGTCATTTGGTGTCTGTTTAATGTTTAACTACGTCATTTGGTGTCTGTTTAATGGTTGTCATTGAAAATCATTCCATATATTATTCATTTCATATTATTATATGCACACAATCACTCCTTACATCAAATAAAGTTATCATTGATATGTTCATTTTCTGTAAAAAATCATTCCATATATTATTCATTTCATATTATTATATGCACACAATCACTCCTTACATCAAATACAGTTATCATTGATATGTTTATTTTCTGTAAACGTACTGTACATAAAATGTTGAATCATTTTTTTTTACATCCATGTATAGAATGCATCAGCCATATTTGGCACAACTTTTCGGATTTTGGTTTTAAAAGCTCTACAACTTCTTACTTGATTTGTCCTTGCAACTGCTTTAATTCAACCGCCACTGATGAGTCTTGTGTAGACAAAACGCGCGTCTGGCGTACATAGTGTTAAACCTGGTATCTTTCATTAGTTTTACCAGCACTGAGTCGATGCTACTGCTGGTAGAACTTTTGTCCCCGCGGGTATCACCAGTCAAATAGCAATTTTGTGTTGATATGAAATATCATTGATTGTTTATTTAAGAATTGAATGCTTCTTTTTTGTAAATTCATTGGGGTGTAAAAGAATGACCGAAGTGCATTTTGTATGAAGTGCGGAAGCGCTTCATTCTAAAAATGTACGCACGGTCAACGCTTTTACAACCCTATGAAATTACTAAAAGAAGCATTCAATACTTATAATTACATTTTTTCGCTATGATCATGAAAAGACGATTACTATCAAGTTTTTCTTTTATTTACCTGTGCACTTTATTGTGAAAACGTGTGGTATCATGTATGTTTCAATTCATGCAATTCATTTTGAAATGAAGAATGACGCGAGATTGCTGTTAGCCAATCAAAATAACGCATAATAATGAAACATGCAATTAATGTAAATTATTTGTCTGTAAATTTACTGTATATAAAATGTTGAATTATTCGTACTTGATTTTGCCTTCCAACTGTTTTGATTCAAGCAACATTGTTGAGTCTTATTCAGACGAAACGCGCGTCTGGCGTACAAAATTATAAGTCTGGTATCTTGATGTTTTTTAAATAATAACTTAATGTTGTAAATTGTACAGTGAAATGTCAGTGTTGGATGAATGTATTATTTAAAGTATTTGAAAAATGTCATAGTCCGGAAAACTTTAATGTTGATCACTCAAAAGAGTGGTGGCGAAAGATACCAAAGCAATATTCAAACTCATTTGTCGATAACAAACTGACAATATCGTTGCAAAAAACGAAAATAACCAAAAGACAAACAGTAGTCTTCAAAACACAACATAGAAAACTCAAGACTGAGCAACTAGAACCCACAAAAATCAGAGGGTGATCTCTGATGCTCCGGAAGTGTAAGTATATCTTGCTTCACTAGTGGCATTCATCGTGTTGCTCATGTAGGTAAAATCCGCTATTAAGTCTAACTCGGTAGGTCACGTTCGAGGAAAGATGATGGGATGTGGTTACGACAATTGGAACATATCCGTTGTCATATGTGAAACATATATTCCATAAGAGTCAACAAACTCTTGGTGTTGTCCGTAAAATTTTCGAAGGGATGATTCAACTTCACCACTTGGAACTCTGGGATTACAAACTTCCTTGTTAGCAGCAATTATCTGTCAAGGAAATCTTGAAAGGAAATGCAAGCTTTGGAATATCGTATCAACTGGGAGATATATACTCAATATGCTGGCCCTGCTGGAATGTTGCTACATAGAAATCGATACTTCATAATTGGGAAGCTGACAGCATCTCTTTGGCGTAAAGTTTTACTTTCAACAGATCCTCATAGTCAGTTTATAGATGTAAGTCAAGATATGAGACAGACTAAACTGTATCTGTTCTATCTTTTATTTAATGTTCGTGGTCAACATAGTCACTGAAATTTGAATTATATATATAGCAGAACGTGACGTTAAGGAATAATGTTACCTTCTTTTAATTCTTCCTAATAAGCTCCTGTATGAAGCCAGTCTCATATGAATAAAGGAAAAAGTCGTCAAGAAGACAAACACAGTTGATTCCTATGAGAATGGCGATTGTTTGTTGTAAAACACGTCCTCCAAACGTAATAAGTATGTGTTGTCTTCATAATGTCAGTTTCGAATATTTTTTTGTTTGAATTAGATTCATTTGTTACAAAGTACAATTTATTCCTCCCTAAGATAAGATACATGTATCTACGATGCCTATTCCTTTTAATGGAACAAAGCAGGACCAATTCTTTCAATTTGTCTTTTAGTTTGAAATGGAGAAACACCTAGTTTTTGGTGGGGCTCGTGTTGCTCAGTCTTTGGTTTTCTATGTAGTTTTGTGTAACTGTTGTTTTGTCTTTTTGTGTTTTCTCTGCGTTGTCAGTTTATTTTTCGACTTATGAGCTTGAATGTCCCTTTGGTATCCTTCGCCTCTGTTTATGTAAAAGGTAGAAAAGTCAAATGTTTAATACTATTGCAAAATGAGAGACTAAGAGATTTTAATATAATGTTAGAATTATGTAGTATCCACATTTGATTCATCCCGCCCCTGGAGTAGTTAGTTTCACAATAACTGTGCAGCCCTGCTTTAATTTGATTGCTGATGATTTTGATGTTAATAATTTAGAAAAAATGTTTCGTGAAGCACTTGGAAGACCATAACGTTGTTTGTAATGACACTTATGTAATTCAAGTATCTAATACAGCGAACGAAGATCCAGTTCTTCATCAATAGCTGAAATTCCAAAGGAACATAGAACATATCCATGATTATTCAGTATTTCTTTCTTGGTAAGTGTTGTGGCGGTATATGTTGAGTTTCCAAGTGAATGTCAATACCTGATTTCTTTATCATGCATTTTATGTAATGTGATTTACACACAAACAGGATGCTGTTTATGGCTTTATTTGGGGGGACAACATAACATCTGTCATGGACGTAGAACAAGTGCCTAGCAACATTTTGGTCTTTAAAGATCGATTTAGCATGTGTATTCAAAGACCCATTTTATTAATTCTAATTTTTATTAATGACATCATTGTCTTTGTCAATTCGGAAAGAGAATCAACAATATAAATAAACAAATTTCTGATTAAACTTGTGTCCAAAACATAAAACATTCTACGATTCTATATATCAAATGTATCCTGTAAGTCATTGTAATTTAAAGACTCACGCGATAAAAATTCAGCATGTTTTCATGCAAACACTTAATAATATGAACGAGCTCAAGGAAAATGGACACAGAGCAGAAGAAAATTTGAAACGGAAATGCATCTCAATACAAGATAAAGATTATCCAGATATTTTAAAATAGAAACACATATACTTTACTCAAGACATGGCTTCAATAAGAGGATTCAAGAAGATTAGTGAGTGTGTCAGCTTTGCGATAAAAAGGACACGACTTGTTCAAAAACCAAGCATAAAAGGTTGCATTGGGAACTGAATATACAACAAACTATCAAAAATGTATAACAAAAATACTGAATTCTAAGGTAAATTCAAAAAGGGGGAGTTTTTACAAACTGACAAAATCGAACGTTAGCAATCAACAGAACGAGTGAAAAACTACCGTCATATTCTCGACTTGGCACAGGCATCCCCAGAAGAAAACAGTGGGTCTAACCATTAGTACCTTACTTTGGAATGTATAACTCTGACGGGAATAAGGTACTGACGACAATACAACATTATTGACAAAATTTAATTAGGAATTCAGCGTTGATGAAGTCTTTGGCCTTTGTTAGTCTTGATTGTTTTTTAATTTTAGTTCATTTATATGTTTTGGAGTTTAGTATGACGTCCATTTTCACTGAACTAGTACACAATTTTATTTAGGGGCCAGCTGAGGACCACCTCCGGGTGCGGGATTTTCTCGCTGCGTGGAAGACCCATTGGTTGCCTTCGGCTGTTGTCTGCATTTGGTCGGGTTGTTGTCTCTTTGACATGTTTCCCATTTCCATTCTCAATTTTATTTGACAATGACAACAGTAGCTATAAAACAAAATGATGATAAAAACCCCAACATAATTCATGTTAAACTTGACTCCAATAGAGAATTCATACACGAATTGCTAGTTAAAGACGTTAGCGGAATGATAACTTATTTTGAATTTGAAGAGACCTATATTAGCCCATTTAGACAACCATACAAGTTTTCGATGGTAAAAACATAAAGCACACAACGAAAACAACTACATTGATGTTTTAAAAAATATGATTGAAAATCCAACAACCCCAAGCATAGATTGTTAATGATGAATTCGGTGGAAAGAAGCCAACCAAACAACTTAACCATAATTCTCAGACATGAAATCGAGCAATTTTTGCTGTAAACAAACCAAAATAAAAAAGACTGGTACGCTCAGATTCAGTAGCAAAAAATGCTCTAGAGAAAGGGCTACAGGAAGTGTTGTGAATCACGGTGGTGTTTCAAATGACTGAAACTATATAATACAGAATAACTGTCCTTAATAATCAATGTCCTTGACTTTGATCAAGCTTTCTTTTAACTTTGCTTTTTTATTACCTGTCTAAGTTTTGGTCTTTATTCTCTGTAGTTCCTTCTGTGTTTATGTCTTCATCAACTGGTGTACTTTGTTGGTCTTTTGGAATATTAGGTAGTACTGAAAATCTAGATCTGAATATATATAAATAAGTACTAATTTTAATTCACCTACACGACAAAGTAAAATGTACAACAATAAAAGTACTATGAACAACAATAAACGTACTATGTATAACAGTAATTAAACTAGCAAACTAAGTAAGTTTATAACTATATGCGTCTGGACAACAAGCTATCTTCTTGTTATCAAATTGTTAAATTGAAAGCAAAAGTTGTATTGGATAGAGTTTAATATTGAAAAATGATCCATGTTTCACACAAAAAAAAATGGTGATGGTTTGAACAAAGTTTGAACTATCACCGCTTTATCAAACAAATCAAAAGATAAATTCGAGTATTAAATTATAAAATATTATTCACAAAAAAAGTAAAAATTTTCTGAAAAAGTACATACTCCATACTGCAAAAATATGTTTTTCGTCATATAAAATGAGTGCTCTGACTTCATGTATGGTGACTGCAATTATTCCATTTAACTATTATACGAGATACCAAAGATAAAGACCCCTCATGATTTTAGTAGTGTTAGTGTTGCTCAATTTTGAGTCGTCTGTCAATTGATAGTAGTATTTGGACTGTTTTTAAACGGGATATCACATATTCATATTAACTGTGATGCTTTTTAAAAAGCCGTAACTTTAGATACGATCCATGTAAACTCATTGATCCTTTGAAATAACTCATTCCTAAAGGTTTTCAATTTAATAAAGCTATTTTCAACTCATTTCTTAAGTTTTTTCTTTGGTTGTGCTGTTTGTGGTGGGTTGAGCGCTCACAAACATTTTAACACCGCTACATTGTAAATGGGCCTGTCCTAATTTAGGAGCCTGTAATTCAGTGGATAGCGTTGGTACATGTTTGGCATACTGGTCGTTTGTAGATAGTATTCTAAAAATAAGCTCTTAAGTTTTCTCGCTTGAATATTAATATTTTCACATTTTTCATGTGTAGCCTTTTAAAGCGAACTATACGGTTTGGTTTTTCTCATTATTTAAATCCTTATGGTGACCTATAATTGCTTATATTCACGTCATTCCGGAGCACCTGAGATCACCCCCAGTTTTTTGGTGGGGTTCGTGTTGCTTAGTCTTTAGTTTTCTATGTTGTGTCATCTGTACTATTATTTGTCTGTTTGTCTTTTTATTTTTGGCCATGGCGATGTCAGTTTGTTTTCGATCTATGAGTTTGACTGTCCCTCTGGTATCTTTCGTCCCTCTTTTTAACTCAAGTGGATGGTTTTTTCATTGTCAATTATATAAAATCTCCTTATTTTTATATAAATGTAAAATTCAAGGAGAATTGAACGTCAGGGTATGATTTAAGCTTGTTTATTACCAAAGATCCTCGCAAGGGTAAGCATACAATGAACGAGTAAGGGTCTATAAAAGCCATTACGAATTGCTTGGGCGGGGATATTTTATTCTTAAGACTGTTTTCCAATTTTCTTTTTATATCGGAATAATTCCCCGTGAATTTGACATTAATTAAAATGAAAGGGAAGCACAACAGAGAGGTCTTTGTTGATCATTTCTCTTTACATCATAGCAGATTAGAAGTGCCGACCAGTTAGTTGGCTTCAAAGTTATTCTTATGGAGTATTTACACTGTCACCAATACTTGTAGAAAATATCCTATTTGCTCTTATAGTCTGGCTATGTTAATGTTTCCCGTTTAGTGTTTATGTTGGCAATTCAAGAGAGAAAGATACTGGTGCACGATTGAGAGCTTCCATTTCAGATATTCTTATATAAGTTCATTTTTTACTTGTCAGATAGTGCCAACTAGTGTGTAAATTTGTAAAAGACAATGAATGCATTTGAAACAGATTGAATACATAAGATTAACTGATTTGAAAGGATAAATAAAAAGTTGTAATTTGTTGTTATTAGGACAAGAGATAGATTTTGGATGCATCATTAAATGTTTAGTACATTAATTAAACGATAAAAAAAAATCCAACGAATGGAACATGTATGACTTGTTTTAGTCGTAAATTTTCCGTCCCGATATCGTTTATCTAACTGTGGTAAAATGATATTTCAAAATATCATTCCAAACATATAATTTAGAATATAGCGATTGAAACTGAAGTATGTATACCAGTTGTATCTACACTTAAGCTCCTATATATATATATCTTTATTCTCACAAAGCCAATGCATTACATCGGTACAGAGATATAGGTATCTACACTTAAGCTCCTCATTAATTTAAAATTGAATGGAATCAAAAAATTCTGCAATAGGCTATCATACCCAAACACAAAAAAATATTTTGTAATAATTAAGAATGTAAAAAAACTTTATACTTAGACATAATGTCCTCTCAAGATTATTGTTGAAAATAATTTGTTTGTCTGCTTATTTGTAAAAATATCAATCTTACGAAAAAAACGTCTTTTGTTTACCATAAGAAATTTTCGTACTGAAAAAAATCTAATTTTGCAGACGGTTTGGCCGACGAAACCTCTCATTTTAAAGGCAGTAGCGTCTTTTTAGCATCTTTACTCACTCGAGTGAAATAATACCTATATCAAAGTAATAAAACATAAGTGCTCTGATATCCATGCAACCGTTTACAAAGTTGATGACTTGTTTTTTGTCAGGGGGTATCTGGAGAGAGTTAAAATGAAGGGATATATATAAAATAATAATATTTTATGTACATGTAGTTAAAAATAGATTAAGAATTTTTCTTACAGCCTTCCTGATTGGAGAGGGAATTCCTGATTGTCCTCATTGCTATCCACCATCTCATTAAACTGTCTAGTCTGCAAATGTAAAATCAAATTTATTTCACAATATGAATATGCCGAGGACCGTGGCACTACACAGCGCAGTCGTATATATTTTTTATGTGTTTATACAGTTTTACATTTTTGTTTCACATACATGTAATCTGGATCCATGATAAACTAATCTCATTCTCTTGACTCTTGTAGCCTAGGGTAGGAGGAGGAGGGAGAATTCAGTAAAAAAGTAAAATATTTGTTTCTGCAACCATCCTCAAGTGCAACGCCTATAAGTTGTCATATTATGACGAGTGCTTATCTGATGCTATGAAGAGGATTGAATGTCAACATCTGTCGTCTACCCTATATCTATTTCAAGTTATACGTATAGATTATTACGTGGCATTTTTCATATCGGACCCTTTATAGGCCCTTGGTCATGATATCAGCCCAAGAGCCTGAGGCTCGAGGGATGATATCATGAACGAGGGCCGATAAAGGGTCTGATATGAAAAATGACATGTAATGATCTTTTTATCATATACTTCAGCAGAAGAAATACAGACAAGAACTATTAAAATTTTGTCTTTCTTTAAACTTCTAGATAATAATTTACAGACAACCAAATACAAATTTATTAATTTTAATTGTTTTTATTGATATAACAAGCATTTAATTTATTACGTGACATATCACAACAATTATTATGTTCTGAGTTTGAAAAATGTATTGTCACATTTCCTGTGGTTGACATATGATAAAGGGTCTGATATGAAAAATAACATAACATATAAACCTCAATTCATTTCTTTAGTTTCAATAGTTATAATTATAAGCTTTCCGCACTTTGTTATCGTTTTTTATAGACTCGACAAACGCAGCCGTGTCGTCCCTGTTTACAAACAAATTTCCGGAAATGCACGAAGTCGCATGTGATAAACCCCACGGACAATAACGGAAAGGCATGTGATAACATTCCGGATGCAGTCAATAAAGGTTCGTTTATTAGCCCGCCGAGGAAATATTTAGGAATCTGTTTAATAAACATAATAACCCTTTCAAAGCCTCTTAATTAGTTTTAAATATTATTGAACTGTAAAATTTAAGTAATATTTTATACAAGTATATGATGAATCTAATTATGTACATGTATTACTTAGTAAACATTATATGTACTGTCTTGAAACGTTCAATACTAAATGTAATGAATATGAACTGTCAGCTATATGGCATTTAGATTCATGTTTTTTCATATATATACATCCCCAAGTGAACAAAATAATTGTTGATTCATAGCCAATTAAAGAAATATATCAATCAACGGAAAAGATGTACACAATTGAAGGCCACTACCGTTAGGTCTTCAACAAGAGCAAAATCAAGGCCATTATGTATAGCACAGTTTTGGTATAACGATAGAAATACAAAAAAAATATTTAAGGTGGTACCTAACACTACAGGGAGATAACTCTGTAAAAATCAACTAAACGTTTTAATCACGTTGTATTGTTAAGGAAATATTAAGCTTCTCAATGATCAAAATTAGTGTTTGTCAAACTGCTATATAACCAGTGAAATTTTTCTGATAAAGTGGTTGGTTCAAATTATTTGAAATTTTTATATTTTTGTCAAAGGGTCAAAGTAAACATTTTGTCAAAATTTTAGGAAAATTAAACGAGCCAAATTAATATTAGTCAAGGTGTTGGGTACCACCTTAATACAGGAAAACATAATATTCCCCGTGAATAGATTAATAAACAAAATACTTGTGATTGGATGTTTACGATCAAATATATAATAATTGAATAATTTATTGTTATTTGCTTGAATGAAAACATCTTTTGCAAACAATTGATAACAATTTCTTTTTTCACTTGATATCTTATATCAGGGAACGCATGATGCAAGTGCAGCTGATTCGTTAACCATAATAAAGACATTAATACAGACGTTATTAAACAATCATTTTATGTTACGTATTCACTTAAAGGCTTAGTACGATTCTGTTAGATGTCATGTATTCCTTCTTGCTTTTAAACTATATGTTAGCTGATGTGCTAAAGAGTTTTATATACTGTTGTTTTTCTTTTGGTCTATTTCGTGTTTTGCGATCGCGTTGTCAGTTTTCGACCTACGGGATTAAAGTCCCTTTGGTGTCTTTTGTCTCTCACTTTTGTGACAAACATTGTAAATTACGTAAAGACATCGGAACTACGCTTTACTATCGACATTTTCAACAAAATATTTGACCTACTGTAATACAAGTATATAATTGAATAATTATCACAAAAAAAAAATGTATCGAATTTTTAACATCCTTGGGTAAACCAAAACTTGAGTAGTACAAGGAGATCAAATGATTAGTATACGATCTAAACTTGATAAAAGTCAAGTTATTTAACGTTTCAACTAAATATATCTACACATGTATAAAATTATTTAAAATATTGTATATAATAATTCTTTTGATAGTATCTCATATTTCTAAATAGATTGGCACTTGTATATGTTTTAGCATTTAAATTCATGGTATTTTTACTCTTAGTCTTAATAACATTTTACTTTATATATGGCTATGAATGTTTTATGTTAACAAAACCTGCCATGCGAATAACAGTCAGTTAAATCAAGCAGATGTATTTGTCAACAGTGAAAACAGATATTTATTGAACACAAAATGAAAAAGCAGTACTATAATAACGCCAACTTGAGACCTTACTTACTCAATCATCCTTCATATTATCAGTAAAATTCCAGTTTTGAAATTAATGTAATTCATAATAAAAAGATTAAATGTGAGATAGGCCTGCTGAATTGTTTTTGAAGGGGTCGTACTTTTAAAAAATAAATTCAATAAATGGTAGTGTCTTACCGTTAAATGAATTACCACTTCGTTATAATGTAATCACAATTTGTGTCAACCAGGATGTTTGAAAGATTCCATGGCTACTGTCACGTGAATCAAGTTGATTAATATATTCAATTCGTTCAGTAGTTTAGACTTGTTATAAACAAAAAAGTATTCCCCGTGAATAGATTAATAAACAAAATACTTTTGTGATTGGATGTTTATGATCAAATATATAATAATTGAATAATTTATTGTTATTTGCTTGAATGAAAACATGTTCATATATGTATTCGCATGTACACGAACATGCGTACAAATTTTGTAGATTGATCGGAAGGAAGGTCATAGACAATAATTCTGTTCCTAGCTTGCATTTAAATTGAAAACATATGAGACCTTACTTACTCAATCATCCTTCATATTATCAGTAAAATTCCAGTTTTGAAATTAATGTAATTCATAATAAAAAGATTAAATGTGAGATAGGCCTGCTGAATTGTTTTTGAAGGGGTCGTACTTTTAAAAAATAAATTCAATAAATGGCAGTGTCTTACCGTTAAATGAATTACCACTTCGTTATAATGTAATCACAATTTGTGTCAACCAGGATGTTTGAAAGATTCCATGGCTACTGTCACGTGAATCAAGTTGATTAATATATTCAATTCGTTCAGTAGTTTAGACTTGTTATAAACAAAAAAGTATTGGCGTTACTCAATTTAGCATTTATTGTTTATTGAGATCAGGTGCAGGAATTTGACAACCCATTTACATTCATTTTATTACTGATAATATTGAAATATTAGAGATTACCAGTTGTGCCTGTTTATAGGCAGTAAAAATATGTGACTAGTTTTAGATAAAATTACTTTCTGTACTATTGAATGTAAAGACTTTAAAATAACCTATTGGAGTTTGATAAAACTGTAAAGAGATTTAAATCATTTCTCACTAAATGCTTATCGAAATAGTCTAAAAACCTGATCTGAAGGAACCTGAGTCACATCATTGTATTTTGACGCACTGTTCGATAATTGTTTTCAACAAATTCCCAACATTTATCTTAATTCTGATAAAACATATTAGCTATAGTTTTACTGTGAAATTAAAAATGATTTCCTAACTAGTAGAATGTGGACTACCACTTGACGAAAAATCCTAATCATTTGGCTGTCTTTAGTCCACTTTTGTGACTTCAACATATAAGAACAAGACATGTATGTATACAAGAAGATTTTCTTTTGAAATCATGTGCCTCTTTAAGGTAGCACAATACAAAAGCAACTAAATTTTATCAAAATTTCATTTTCAGCTGTTTTTGTTACTTCTTAATATTTCAAAACCACAGAAGAAAAATTTATTTACATATCTTGCACTGTTAAAGAGTTTTGATGATAATTAGTTTTATAAACAAATGCACGTGTCTTACTGATACAAGATTAGAACATGTGGGCAGTTCTTTGTGGTTAATCAATAGAATCATTTGAAAGCTTTATGACCACTGACCAGCAATAAAAATAACAGTTACGAAAAAGAGGTGGATTAGGGATTTATGGAAAAAAGAAGATCATGAATTCCAAATAAAAATACATTTCTATATTGGAGCTGCCAGGAGAAAAAAAAACAAAACTACTATTTTTGGAGATATAGAGGGAATCAAAATATAAATGTATAGATATTAAACAAATATAATTGTGCAACAATTTTAAATGTTGCTGATTTTTATACTAGAATTTCAAACTGCAAAAAACAAAAAAAATCTACTTTGTGTAAAACACCATATTACCATTGTATACGATTATAACAATAGAAATCCCCCATAAGGACTAAAACAACTGATCATTTTGTGTACACATGCATAACTTACTTTTTGTAACAATGCAAAAAATAAAATATATTATTTTATGTACTAAAAGAATAAAATCCATATTGAAAAAAGTAAATGCAATGTGAAATTAAATTTCTGAGATCATTAATAGTAAAGGTTTATCATGGTGGGCGGAGTTTTGACCATATCAGTAGCTACTGACTTACAGCAAGGTCAATAGTGATATAACATCTCCCGCCAGATCTGATTTTTGATGCATAGGGTGTGCATTTTCTTTATAAATTTACAATTGCTGAAATGAAATGCTTTCATACTGGTCAAAAACTAATTGATTTATGATTAAAGGCAAATCCGGAAGTATCCCCATGCTACATGTGTGAATTATATTGAAGTTAATGGGGTACACGTAGAAATATCCTTATTTATTCAATTGTGTGACACATTCATTTTTAATGAAGTTTTAAATGAAATTAGCTCCTAGATGGGTGCATCTATATGCCTGATTTTCACACATGTTGTTCCTTGACCAGTTATCTTCAAAATAGTGTGTTAGATTTCCAAAAACATTAATAGAACAAATTTTATACCCCATTAAATTTAGTGATCTCTTATGAATTGAGGTTGCAAACTTCATTGAAGGTTTATGAGCGAATGAAATACCATAGAAAAAATCTGAGACACCCTTTTGGAGGTCAAACTGTGTTGTACAAGAATCTATAAAATATTTTGGTTTGGTATGAATAACAAAGAAGCTAATTTCATTCAAGTGTGAACATCACAATATCAACTAATTACATAATAATTAATTATGAAATAATTATGTTATAATGAAATTATCACCATTTGAAAGATTAATCTTTCTTCTTTCTCTAGATCTTCTAGACTGACCAACTGATCATTTTGTGTACACATGCATAACTTACTTTTTGTAACAATGCAAAAAAATAAAATATATTATTTTATGTACTAAAAGAATAAAATCCATATTGAAATAAGTAAATGTAATGTGTAATAAAACTTCTGAGATCATAAATAGTAAAGGTTTATCATGGTGGGCGGAGTTTTGACCATATCAGTAGCTACTGACTTACAGCAAGGTCAATAATGATATAACATCTCCCGCCAGATATGATTTTTGATGCATAGGGTATGATTTTCTTTATAAATTTAAAATTGCTGAAATGGAATGCTTTCATACTGGTCAAAACCTAATTGATTTATGATTAAAGGCCAATCCTAAAGTATCCCCATGCTAGATGTGTGAATTATATTGAAGTTAATGGGGTACAAGTAGGAATATCATTATTTATTCAATTGTGACACATTCAATTTTAATGAAGTTTTAAATTAAATTAGCTCCTAGATGGGTGCCCCATATGCCTGATTTTCACACATGTTGTTACTTGACCAGTTATCTTCAAAATGGTGTGTTAGATTTCCAAAAAACATCAATAGAACAAATTTATACCCAATTAAATTTAGTGATCTCTTATGAATTGAGGTTGCAAACTTCATTGAAGGTTTATTAGTGAATGAAATACAATAAGAAAAATCTGAGACACCCTTTTGGAGGTCAAACTGTGTTGTACAAGAATCTATAAAATATTTTGGTTTGGTTTGAACAACAAAGAAGCTAATTTCATTCAAGTGTGAACATCACAATATAGCAACTAATTACATAATAATTAATTATGTAATAATTATGTTATAATGAAATTATCACCATTTGAAAGATTAATCTTTCTTCTTTCTTTTGGTACCTCATTTATAAAATTTAATGCTGGATGACAGAAATTACATCAGTTTAAAGTTGTCTGATTGGGGGTGAAAAAATCTTTGTATTGTGCTACCTTAAATCACAAACATCGTGAAATTGTCATGTTCCAATGCCAGTCTCGTTTTTTGTTTGTTAACATGATTTTTCTCTTTCTTATTGATTTTCGAGATTTGAAAATCGGTAAACTACTGTCGCCTCAATACAACAATTTTCAGCTGAAGATCTGGTGAATCACCGCAATCCACCATAAAAAGTTTGATTATAGTAGTAGTGGGTAGATTTTACTTAATTTAATCACACTTGTCGTTTTATTGACCTCTTTCTGCAAACACCTGATAGCTAAGCAAATAGTTATATATATTTATTCTCATTAACCAAAGTACAATTGTAGCAACAACATGGAAATGTATAGTATCTTAACAAAGATTTAATACAACAAAGATAAAGACACATGTTCGGGAAGCCATTTAATCATTTAAGTATGATAAATTTAGACATTCTCTCTTTGTTGTTCAAGAGTGATATTTTTTATTCAAAAGCCCCAATCGTTATATATACATATAAAACGGCAATAATCTGTCTAAAAAAAGTTAGTTCTTTCTCAATGAATGTGGACTTCCTTGTAATTTCCAGTTACATAACGAACATTAAGAATGGAACAAACACTCACTGATCAGTATAAAGAATTCTGGTATGTAGTGATTAAGAACTCCCTAAAAAAATAGAAAACATGTATAACAAAAATACAGAACTCCAAGGCATATTCAAAAAGGGGGAGATCATAACTGACAAGATCAATTGTTATCAACCAACGGAACAAGTGGAAAACAACTGTCATATTCATTAGTACAAGTATATTATAGAATTTTTAAAGAAAACAATGATTTTGAATGTTATTTGAATATTTTTGGTAATAACTTTCTGTCGATTTCGAATTGTACACCACTCCATACCAACAGAAAGTGGACGTTGATATCACTTTGACTTATTCCAAAGGAAACAAAAAATCTGCTATATGCCAGAAAAATAGGCGACGAATATCATTGTAGCATATAAATTTACTGCTATGAAAACAAAGAGGAAAGTTTATTACATCAGACCATAAACAATCAAATATCACCAATGGTTTAATTAAAAAAAGATTTCTATGTTATAAATGACTTTGCAAATCGAACAGAGGAACCAACGGTAGTAAATGGAATTTCAAAATGCAAAATGCATATACTTTAATATTTTTATTATTCTTGTTAATTTGTTTTTTGTATATTGTTTATAAATGTATTAAATTTATGTAACACATTAAGCATTTTAGGTTACATGTTAATGTTTCCTTTTCGAGATTACAACATCTACCTTAAGGCTAAATGGAAGGTGGTTACCATAGAGAATTTACGCATTTATTAATATTATATCAGTGTGATTGAGTGCAATTTACAATAAGTACATTTACAACAACATGGCACAAATTACAAATTAAAAAGGAAT